TCATTTCATTCCTACTTGAACTATGGAAATAAGCACCAGGTTCCCGAGGTGCAAGATGGGCAGCGGCGAAAAGTTGACATGTCCTTGTTCTTGGCTTCTGAGCGTCGGCAGCCGACAAGCGTTGTTAGGTGCACTTGGGTCGCATCGAGTATACACTAGTAAAGAGTCTCTACATGGCGTTGCAAGAGGTGGTCCCTCTTATATTTTATAAATTATTATATTTTACGTAATCCGCCGGCGCCAGCCGCCTCAGCTCACGCTTGCCTATCCTCGCCCTGCAGCAATCTTGTTGGCTCGTGATATACCTTTACCGTTCCTCTCTCGGGCCCGTCATGCTGCTGGTTAGTCACTTATAACAATAGCGTCAAGTACACTTTACAGCTGGCAACTCTGTTCAACAAGTCCAAGAACCTCTTTGTAGTATTATGCACAAGTTTGGCTTGAGTAAAGGCTATATAAAAGGTCTGGTATATAAATACTAGTAATATAAACATGAAAAGGAAGCAGCCATCCCATACACGGACTGCAAAATTTTCTGTCCATCCTTAATCACCCTTTACACAGCGCGTCATTGACTCGCCGCATGCATATCACGGCTCTGGCTTGTGCCTAGCCGGACTGTAGGCCGCACTGCTCTTCGCAGTCACCGCAGGCAATGCAGGTCAGGCCAAATGCGCAGTCAAAGCAGAGATTATTCTTGACCCTGTCGCACGCGGTATACGTCTAAGTCGTCTTCCAGTCGCTCTGTCGATGGACACATTGGTCCGGCTTAGAAGGGGGCGCCTCGTCAATCTTGAACGTCCTGGAGAGCATCCAGGGCTGTCGCTTGCCGTCCTTGCAGACAAAGACGGCTTTAAACTCGCCGGGTCCGAGTTGCGCATTGTCAAATTCGACCGTGGCGATGTCGCCACGGCCTTGAGTCTTGTTCACGTAGGCCCAGGCCTTGGGATCGGCGGCATAGGGATTGTAGGCGTCGGCCGGCCACATGCCGACCCATGGGCGGTGGCCGCCGCACTTGGGGTCCGGGGCATAGTAGTTAATGACGGTCTTGGTGGCTGTGAGCCAGTCGGATATAATGACATTCTGGCTTCCGTCGGTAGGAACGCGTTGGGGGGCGGGCGAGCCGAGGACTGGCTGCAGGGCGCCCAGCACGAACACGGTTGCGGTTGAGAGGTACATGATGCGGGAGAGAGCAGGTCTGGGGGTGTTGATATGTGATGAGGAGCTTGGAGGTGAGGAGTGTCTTCCCGGTCGGTCAAGTTGGGACATGGAGGAATGTGCGGGCATCTTTATAGTAGCACCTTTGGCTACTTCGCTACGGCGTAGCTATTCGGCGTGCCAGGGGGCGACTTGGCACTCGACTGTATTCCACATCATGGCAGACAAGTCTGCCCGACCCGTGATGCTCTTCTGGGCTGACGAGATATCGCCAAGTGGTTGACCGTGCGAGTCTGGCCTGGCCTCGGCTGATGGCATGACTTGGTGGATCTATAGTATGTATATACTACGACTTGAAAAGAGCACCTCGTTAAAACGGGTCACAGTGGATGAGGGCTTAGAGGACGTGATATTATCGAATGAGCAATGGTATATCCCCTACCTCTGGGTTCAGTGCGTATAATTCACTCTGCGCAGGCGGCGGGGAGGAATCACGTATGCCACATTCCTCCCTCTCCTGTAAAGTCCCGATTCGGAGGCTCGAATGCGTAAAAAAACGACTCGTCTCTTGTGCTGGTGTTTCTGTTTCCACTTTTTATTTCATAAACACGCAGCCATGGTGACTTGCTCGCGTAGTCTTGGTATCTACGTGTTATATTGTGTATCTGCACTCTCCGACAATGCCGCTTCATGCAGGGTTGCCATGAGTCGTGAGCCCGTGGGCTTCATTAAAAAGGTATTGGACCCCATACCGTCTACGGGAAGGATTGTGATTGACTACCGGCCAGAAGCGTCTTGGAGACACCAGACAATTGTCATGACTACTTGCTTACCAAGCGCCAGGGGCAATGCCAGGGTGTAGCATTGAACACTACCGGACGAACCAGATGGCATAAATTTTCTCCAAACGCCTCGGTCAAAGGATCACAGTCCTTCTGCTTCACTTCCTCTAGCCGCAAGCTATAGATGACAGACGTTGTTGTCATCTCTGGAGGCGAGAGGGGGAGTTTGTAGACATTTCATCCGGTATTCTTCTTTGTACAGGGACAAGGACCAAACGCAACGATAGACGGGCGCTGCTATCATTGCACTCGAGAATATAACCTTAACATTAGTGGCCAGCTACGAGGCACCTATTGATGCTTTAAGGCTGATTATGCGTCGACTATGCACAGATGCAGCCGTACCCGATTCGGTGCTTCCAGTGTCCAGGACACCCCTTGTAACGTAGCAACGTATGATATCGACTTGACATGTACCATGTTCCTGATAAAATATACACAGCAACCCGCAACAGCTCCTCGATCAACTTTCTGCACCAGGCCATTCCTTGCCTAATGGGCCTGACACGCCCGTACTCGGTGGAATTGCTCTTTCACACCTGGGTCATATTTAGTTTATATGGCCAAATTCCCTTTAAAACATCAAGGTAGCGGCGGGGAAATCTAGGACAGATGAGAGCAAGGCGGACGCCCGGGAATGGGCTTAAGCTCGTATTAGAGAGGACCTAGTTATTATGAGGGGTATACTTGCACAGGCAGGACAGTTGGGCATCTTGCTGTCGAGGTTGTATGAACTCTATCGGCGAATCCAGCTGGCTAGGCTGACAAAGCTCCAGTTCGCCGACAGAGACGATGTTGACATTTGATGTTGCCCTTGCATTCTGGGCCAGATGACGATTCAGGGCCTCGGAAGCATGTCTGCATTGACCGGCTCAAAGGTTCTCTCAGTCTTTGTTGAGCGGCTGGAAAGCATGTCGTGGGGTATAGCTCAACGTTTCAAATATCCCTTACCAAGTCTGAAAAGGCCACAGTAGCTTCAAATAAAGGGGTTATGCCATGATGATGATCCGTCCGCGTGACAGGCTGAAGTTTGTTAATAATCAGCTCGAAACTTGACATGGCCCCTCGGTGTGAGCAGATTGTAGGTCTTCGTCCCCGTTTGCAACAAGAGCATGGTAAAGAAGGGACAACGCATGTGCGTGACAGGCGCCGTAGAGTCGTAGACCGTCTCGTGAGCTGCTACCTTTGATTCCTCCCATTATCAGCATGCGGCCGTGGAGTCGAACTAGCCCCTGGCCTTGTCAAGCATGAATCAACTTCATGCATAAACCTAGGGCAATAGCCAGACCCAACTTGTGGAGTATTCGATTCCACAGCAGATCCAGCACCCCAATGTTCACGTCGTAATATCGGTCCATGTCTCGCCAAAGCCCCTTGTCTCCTCTTCTCCACCAACAGTTCCGGTCGCCCACAAAGGTTCCGATGCCACATGCAATTTCGGGACACATGCGATTTCGGAATCAACGTCAGCTGGGTATAAACGCCAACTAGTAGGACCAACATTATTACCAAGGTTGTGAACATGGCCCTTTTATTCCTCATATTCCGAGTGGAGGCAGCACACAAGTTTGGTACCCCCATCGGGCTTTAAACTCAACACTGGTGCCTCCATTCCTGCCGTCGGACTTTGTGAGACGCCGGAGGCTATAAAGCAAGAACAAAAACTGAGTAAGCGTCGGAACATGGCCAGTAAACCCAGGTGGGGTTGGAAAGGCCGTTGAGCACGCTCTCAAGTCTGGCTACAGGCACATTAACTATGCGCTTATTTACCGCAATGGTGTGCTGCACCTCTCCAACAAGCCCAAAGAGCATCATCTATCAACTTCTGCTAAGAGAAAGAAGTATGAGGTGTCATCAATGGATCTGGCGCCTCTCGAAAAGAAATCTTTAAACAGACTTTCTCGACCTATACCTTGTGCACTGGCCAGTGTAAGTGCATTCATGCCATCATACCACGTCATTGTTGCTGACCCCAGTCAGACGCCTTATACTCAACGAAACATCTGACCTTCTTCTTGTGAACCCAGACGGCATGCGTTCTTTCAATCGCTCCCAGGACCAGGAAGACACTTGGAGGCAGATGGAGGCGGTCTACCACTCCGGAAAGGCCAAGGCGATCGGTGTGTCTAACTGGAGCGTGCCATACCTAGAGCACTTGAAGAAGATGTGGACGGTGACGCCAGCCGTAAACCAGGTACATGTTTTGCACTTCCCACCTTCCCCTAGATGCTCATGTTCTCAAGCAAGTCCGTCACTGCGAGCCGGATCGAGCAGAACCTCAAGGTGGTGCAGTTATCGAAGGAGCGTTTCTTGCCCGTTATACAGTCTGTGGCAGAATATGATTCGAATTTAATACTTGGATAGTGGGAAATTACGAGGCTACAGCCGTTTCAGTGCAGAACAGAATATTCATATAAACGGCCCTATAATCAAATGGGTTGAGTTGGTTGAGTTCAACCGTGTAAGCAGGCATAACTGTCGTTATCAAGTTTGATATCGCTATGCCAAATTTTTGGTAATTTCGTTTATCAAGATGCTTGTATCTAGCGGGTTTAATCTCTGGGGACGCTGCCTTGCCTTATTGTTGATAGTAGGGTCGAACCATTTCCATCCTGTAATTCATGCGCTGCAGTCGGCGATTCCGTTTTCGGATTCGCTCCATTCGCTTCATGGGCCTATCACGTGTGGCCGGGAGCTGAACTTCGGACGGCCAGGCAACCAAATCACCCTTCATCTAATATATGCAACTGCTTCTTCTCCTCACTTTTCTTTTCAGTAAAAATATGGGACAGTCTTGCATTACCGAGGACTTTGTTGCATCACTCGCGCAACTACTCAATACAGCGCAGGTCCCATGTGTCCTTTGGGGCCACGTTCTCCTCCGCATTCACGGAGTTCCAACCATCGTTGGCGTAAGCGTCCCCCCCCTCCTCTTTTCCCCCCAAGTCCACAGAATATTTACTATTATCCAAGGCAGTCGATTTTGTGGTCCCAGATGAGATGCTATCAGTTGCCACACAAGCTCTCACGCCTCACGAGAAGCTGATACCTTGTCCCGATGGCAAGGACTGCGACATCATCTCGCCGAGCCGGCCAACTCCCGCCCCTGAGAGCCACCTACATATCGAGGGAGCCGAAGAACCGGTCGGCCTTTACCCCCAGTCCGAGACTCTATGGTTCTTACCGCCCCTACAGGCAGCCCTCACAACGCCGGACAGAGGCCAACTTCCACCTTGCTATGCCCTTGCCTCGGATAAGTCTATTCTGCCTCCTTACAGGCTAGGGAGAGGCTCTGGGTTCTTCAAGTCGACGATTCACCCCGTTGTCATTGTTCCCTCACATGTTCTGCTTGAAGCCTTTATGCGTTTTTGTGCGCGCTATGTAAACACACCCGCTGGCGGCTTCTCTATTAGCACGATTGCTTATGTGGGGCTTTATATTGATGATGACGGGTATTTGGATCTCAAGCAGCTCTCAGAGCCACTATCTTCATCTTATCTGGCGCTCAGAGAAGGGAAGATTCCTGTCCGACAGTGGGTGAACGAGCTGAAGAAGCTACTTGGGGAGCCTGGATTATTAACATGACATTACTAGATGCTGCTATGGGACAATTGTTTTTATTCTAGCTAGCTTTAGTCAGAATCGGAGGGCCAATGTGAGCTACTTTGCATGCATTTATAGTCGGATGGTCTTTTCAACGTCAAACCCATCAGCCTGCGCGAAATAATACCCTCGCTGATTAGCCAGCAGCCTTAGCATCCCTGCGCCACTTTCTCGCTCCATCTCAACATCGCAATTATAATGCGTGTGGCCGAAAGCCCACACCTTGACTATAATACTATTAAAGCATCGTTCGTTTACTAGATCCGTGGAAAATCCGCTGGTAATAGGGCTCATCAGATGTTTGGCATCTGAAACGCCAGGAAGCCGAGATGGACTCCAGTGAGTAAAAATAATGATGTTGGTGGCATCACAGTGGTCCTCGAGCTTGGCTACCTCGCCATTTAACCAGCCAAGATCGCGCCGATGGGCGTTATTGTGATCCGCCACAGTCCAATCTTGAATAAGAAAGAAATCATTCAGGCCCATCTCTACAGCCATCTGGCTTTCTTCGGGGATATGAGAGAAAAGACTGCAGCCCAAGATGACAGTATCTGACCCTGGTGGGCGATATGAACCGCGATCAAGCACCGCAAAGTGGCCGAGTGAACTGTCGCGTTCGACTTGTTCCTCAAATGCACTAAGAACAGCGATAGTTTCTTCCCAGCTCGAGTGATATGCTTCGTGATTCCCTGGCACGAAGAGAATTGCCTTAAATAGACAAAGATGTCTCGTTAGGAAAGCGAGAATATCATCTTTGTGGGCAACGACATTGCCAATATCGCCGAGGAGGGCTAGATATGGTGCCTTTGGAGGAATGGTATACAGGTCGTAGGCCTTTGGAGATTCAAGGTGCAAATCAGAGAGAATCTGAATGTCCATGACAGCACGCGTTGGCAGGCATTTGGTAGTGAACGGTCAGCGGTGGTGTGCGTGTACTCTTGTTGCCTTTTTGAGACCGATCACGTGATCGTGGGAATTGGAAGAGTGGGTCAAGGACCTTGTTTGGTGGTAACAATTTCCTGCCGTCTCCCCTGAGTCAACTACATCGCGATGGAAAGCAGTAATGAGCACCTTTGTCGTCAATAAATGCATTCGAAAACCCGCTTCAGTGCGCTTAGTGGCGCTGCCCGAAATTTATCAAGTTTTGCCCAGCCAAGGCTTCACCATTCACCATCACTCCTACGTGCATTTACGCGCCGACCATACGCGATCAGTCGGTCAACTTCCACACGCTCCTATTCCACAATAATAGCGCCACACGAATACGAGTGGATTGACAGTGCGGAGCGCTTAGAAAACTACACAACTGGCGGTTACCACCCTACACAAATTGGAGACATCTATCGCGATCGATATGAAGTGATAGACAAACTGGGCTATGGAGGGTGGTCAACCGTTTGGCTGGCACACGACTTTCGGAAGAAGCAGTACGTTGCCTTGAAGGTGGGCATTGCAGACTCCTTGCCCCATGAAGTCACGGCTCTTCATGCCCTTGGCAAGCAGACAACGGTTCCAGGCTCCGCGGCCATTCCACGGGTGTTGGATGAGTTCCGGATCGAAGGCCCCAACGGCTCCCACCCTTGCTATACCACAGCTCCTGCGCTCTGCAACCTTCGGGAGAGCTCATTCAGCCGTTTGTTTCGCCTTGACGTTGCTCGTACCCTAGCTTACGAGCTCACTCTTGCCGTTGCCTACGTGCATTCAAGAGGCTATGTCCACGGAGGTGCGTGGCATGATGATAAATAGCGCTACTCGTACTAATACTATACATTAGACATCCATCTGCGTAATGTGCTGGTTAGTGCGCAAAAGGACTTCAATCAGCTGTCCGTTGCACAATTTCGCAAGGAATACGGCGAACCCGATTCATACCCCGTCAGACGAGTAGATGGACATCCTCTCACCCCTAATGTGCCCCCAAGAGCGGTAGTGCCACTTTGCATAGAAAAAAAAGCCCCTGAGTTTACGCTACAAGACGCACATATACTCCTGAGCGACTTTGGAGAGTCGTTTGCTCCGGCAGAAGAGCCTCGTCTGGCGAAAGACTGCCATACACCAGTGGATTTTCGACCCCCGGAAGCTCATTTTGAACCGAATACCCCCCTTTCCTTCTCCGCAGACGTTTGGAGTCTCGCAACTGCCATCTGGGATATTCTAGGTATGCAAGCCCTTTTCAGTAGCGCCTTTTATTCAAATGCGCAGGTCATGTGTCAGATCGTCGACGCCTTGGGGCCATTGCCTTCCGACTGGTTCGAAAAGTGGGAAGATCGAGAGGACTTCTTTGATGCCAAGGGAAAACCAAAACCCGGCCGGCATGTATGGCCGAAAATACAAGGAGCCTTCGAAAACACCGTGCAAAAGTACCGACGGGATGATAATATGGGCGAATATTGCGAAGAGGAAACAGCGGCCATCTTGGACATGATCGTGCAAATGCTCAGATATAGACCTGAAGAGCGGCCGACCGTACAGCAAGTTCTACAATCGGACTGGATGGTGAAGTGGGCGCGCGCAGATTACAACGGCGTCATCGGTGCCTCCATACCTTTTGAGCATTGAAAAATCGGTGACAATGCTATCTGCTAATTCCTGATAGAGACTAAAGGGTATATCGAAAGGGAATCGTTCAGCGTCATTCCCTAGTATAAAGTGAGACAAGCTACCTAATGTACGATTGAGTGCAGAAAAGTCGCTGGAGCTTTCAATACAAATTCCCATAGCAATTTTAGCCTAGGCGAACATCAACACCACGTTTTGCACTCCCCACCACACATACAGTCGCTACTCAAATCCAGCACATGCCCACTCGACGCGACACGATGACGGAGAGAGGCGGCTCTTCTGCGCAGCTCTCCACACATGGCTCGCGCCGCGCTTGCATATGCGACCTGCAGGCAACTGTGTGCCTGTTGTGTGCCGTTCCCGGTTGCCAGGGTTCGCAGAGCCTCTGCGTACGCCTGCTCACGAGCTGCGTGGTCCAGCCGCGCCATGCCCCTGGATGACGGAGGCAGATGGCTGAATCGCGACCTCACCGCATCGCGCATACTCAGCAAATCCGCGGCGTCGTCGGGGGCAATTCGCCTGTGCCCACACACGCTGGCCATGACCACGATGGCTTCACATGAAGGCCGCATGGGGCAAGCACACAAGTTGCCTCCTGTACGTTCAAAGGTCGCGCACGCACTCCCCGCGACCACCCCAATGTCCATGGCTCCTCGCGCATCTCGAAGCACCACGGCCTCGAGCGCGTCACATACCATGTCCATGCAGGCGGCGACCCCTTCATACCCAGCGTGAGCACCGACCGCATAGTAACAGTTGTCCAGGCATCCCCTCCTGGCGTCACTGCACAGGTCGCCCGTATCGTGCCCGAGGGCTGCCATGATGTATATCCACAACGACGCCGGTTCCTCGCCATCTGTGCCGCTGCCAAGTTCATGGTGCATCGTGACGTTCCAGTGGGCTGCAAAGGACCACGCGCGCAGCCGTAGAGCGCGCATCAAGCCCAGCGTCGACACACACCCGGCATGCCAGTCCATGATCCCAGGCCACCGGCGCATCAGCTCGTCAGAGGCAATCACCCACCGGGTCAAGCTTGCATGCCGCGCAACCTCGCTGGCATACGCGGTGAAGTCGCTGGCCCGGACTCGGCCGTGGTCCAGCGCGGTGAGGTACGTCCCGAGCAGCAACATCTCCAGCCCATCCGCCAGCAGGTTGACGTGGTTGTTGATGAACAAGTAATGCAGCCACACTGTTTCGACGGACCCGCGCGAGCCCTTGTTGATTTCTTGGCTGGCTTTGCCGCCGGCCTGCACAATCTCGCGACGGCCCGGCCCAGCCAGCCACATGGCATCCACGAGTATTTGACGCGTCGCGCCGGTCCACGCGCCGCGTTGATATGCGAATTCTAGCAGTTGCTCCTGCTCGGGGGTGGCCTTGTGACGGGCTGTCCCTATTCGGACCGTCACTTCGGAAGAGAGGGACTTTGCCCGGCCCGATGCCGACACGGATGCCGCTGTGTCGTTGCCGCAAGAACACCAGGTTGCCAACGGCCCGTTATCATCCTCGGCCGCGTGCCCGTCAACCCGCGGCATATACCTGCTCGTCCTTGTTCCATCCTCGCCGCGCAATTCCCTCGCTGCCGCATCTAGCGCCCACGATGCCCACCCGTGCTTCAAGGCGTATAGCCCAAGTGTGTTGCACATGTCTGCCCTGCGACCCTTTTGGCTGCATCCGGACGCGCGCTCTGCTTTGCCGACGTGTACCACGCTTCTACTCCCGTCTAGCAAATGCGTAATCACGGTGGTGTCACGGCGTGCAAGCTCTTCCTGTAGACGCATGAGAAAATCGCTCGAGACGTGTCGTGACATCCCCCATTTACAGCCAGCGCAGTCCGTCTCTCCCGCCCAGCAAATACTCATCTTGCATGTCGTGCACAAGCTCATTTGTCTTATCAACATGTTCCATGTCCTCCTCTTCATACACGTGTGCAGTGTACCAAGTGTTACGACTGGCAGCTGTGACAAGGGCTTCCGATGAGGGCTTGTGAATAGCTTCAAATTCAATCTAATAGTTGTCTTTGGATTTGATTTAAAGGGTCTTTGGGGAAGTGAATCCAGAACCCCGACCTGTAGCTCGTATATATACATGATAATCCAGGCGTGTGTAGCCTCACCTAGACGACTGAGGCATCTAGGTCATGGCTGCCTTGGGCTTTCATCCTGGCAGCCCTGACCTGACCCTGCGACCCCTTTGTGGTCCGTCACGATGCATGCTTTGTGCTGATGCAGCCGGTTCGTCCACACGTTGTGCTACCTTTCCGTATGACAGTCGATGGTCGAATCCATTCGTCCAAGGAGATGCCAAGTGCCCGGTATACATCTCTTGTCACCACATTGGGCGCGAGGCGAAAATTCATGGGCGGCGCTGCGTATTTGCTCCTCTTTGATTCATTTTACGTCATCGGGGTGGACAAATCCTTATTGCCACCGACTGCAACCCTTTGACTGCTGGTGTGATTGATGCCACAGAAGCTAAAAAGGCCGCGTGTGCCGACGAGTTTGATACTTTCCTCGCAATTACTAGCTATTGCCGGACTGTTTCTAACGGCAAAGCTTGGAGGGTTACATGCTTCTCTATTCGCGCCCATGTGGCCGGCGAATAAACTGTGACAAGGGCTAGCTAGGTTCTAGGGCTTGGAGTGGTAACAACTCAATCTAAAGATGGTCTCGAAGGATGTCCAAAGGTTCTTGGTTACTCATCAACGAGAGGAGGGCAAGAACTAGGTTATTTACATGAAAGAAACCGAGATGGCCGAGGCTTCCGGCTGGTCCGTGATGGCTTCATGCAACGGCGTTGGGCTTTTGTTGAGTCCCAACCGTGCAACATGAACGACACAGTTATCCAAGCCTCGAGTCCTCCTCACAGTACCTGCATTTCCCACAAATTGCCATCATGATTCATGACGTGCTTCGCCTCTGGGTCGTTGCCGTCATTTTGGTCACATGGCTTGGCCTCAAATCCGCATATCGCCTGTTCTTTCACCCCTTGGCCGGGATTCCTGGCCCGAAAATAACAGCATGCACACAGTTGTACGAGTTCTTCTATAATGTGGTCCGACCGGGTAAATTCCTGTTCAAAATTGAAGAGATGCACCAGCAATACGGTCAGATATACATCTCCGACACCTTTCCGAGCGGCTACGCACTAAGCACATGCTCACAGGCCCCCTTGTTCGCATCAACCCCCGCGAGGTTCATATTAGCGACCCGTCCTTCTACGATGAAATCTATGCTTCGAGTCGCCGAACGCGTGACAAAGATCCCAAGTTTGTGCCTACATACGCGCTGCCCGACTCCATGGTGGCCACTGTTGATCACGAACTGCACCGCTTTCGACGGAGTATTTTGAAAGGCTTCTTTTCTAGGCACTCTGTCCTGGAACTCTCTGAAGTTATCAACGAACGCGTGCAAAAACTTATGCAGCGATTGCGGGAATTTCAGAGGAACCAATCTGTGCTATGCCTCGATGATGCTTTCGCAGCACTAACCTCGGACATCATCACGTCTTACTGCTGCGGAAAGCACGGGGGCTTCTTAGAGGATGAATATTTTCGCAATGATATTCGTCGTGCTACTGCGGATGCCATGGAGTTAGGACATATTTGCCGGTTTTGCCCCTGGCTGGTGTATGCACTGCGCATCCTTCCACCTCGAGCCATCGCCACCCTCATGCCAGGAAAAGCAGCAGTATTCGAGTTCCTAGCCTCGCTCTTGGACGACCCAGGCACGGCTATGCATGAAAAAACGTCACCTACTCCAACGACAAGCTCCCAGCTGACAAGGAAAACTATGGTCGCCGCCTTGGCGGATCCTAGTATTCCACTGAAGGAACGAAGCTATAACCGACTGCGCGATGAAACGTTTGCCATTATTGCCGCTGGGACAGAAACGACGGCTCGTGTTTGGACGGTTGCCGCTTACCATCTCGCCCGGGACGAGGACCTTCGAGACACGCTGCGAGCGGAATTGAAGAGGGTGATGCCCACGCTGGATGCGAGGCCGACTTGGCCTGAGCTTGAAAAGTTGCCCTACATGGTAGGTAATCGCATGACCGAGATGGTGACGTTGCTTATTGCGGATGACTAGAGCGGCGTTGTTGATGAATCCTTACGCCTATCGTATGGATTGACAGGACGGCTGCCCCGTGTTGCGCCGACAGAGGCTCTAAAATACAAAGATTACGTCATTCCCTCTGGGGTGTGTGAGAAGACCTTCTCTTGAGTTTACTTCTTTCAACTGCTAATATACTTGTTGATAAAGACTCCAATCAGCAGCTCTAGCTACATTCTCCACCGGGACGCTTCTATTTTCCCCGACCCGGAACGATTCGACCCCGAGAGATGGGTCAAGGCGGCACAGAATGGAGATAACTTGAAGAAGTACCTGACTTCATTCACGAGGGGGAGCAGAGCGTGTATCGGCATAAAGTAATTGTTCCGGATGTATTGACAACATTGGTTCTGGCTTGGTAGCTAACTGGCAACTTTAGCCTCGCGTACATGGAGTTATTCTTGACAGTTGCTCATCTAGTTCGTCGGTTTGACATGGAACTGTACGATACGGAGGCAGAAGATGTCCGAATTGTGCGAGATATGAATATGGGATATACGAGACGGGGTAATCTGAGAGTTTACGCCAAGTTGTCATTAGCGGAAGGGTAGGGGTGGCTTGCTCTGCAGTCGGCCGGCTGTGGGATATTCCTGAATCTGCTGTTGAGGAAATGCCTGCGAAGTATTTTGAAGAATTTTGCCCTGGCATTATTGAGATTAAGGCAGACTTTATTTTTGTAAGTTGTGCCATTCTTTTAGGCTGTTTGGTCACATGGTCGGCGGATTTAAAGACGATGATGAGCATGGCAAAACCACTGTGCTCACCTTGAGTTTCCAGATTCTGCATGAACTAACCTTTAAAGGAGATAGAAGCATCGAGTCTAACCGAGCAGAACGACTTATACAATCTGGTGTCAAATAATACTGTGGCGGTGGTGCGCTATTTAATACAATCATACATGCTAAGATACAAATGTAAAACCAAAAAGACATCCAAAAAATGCCTTAAAAATAGAGCATTGTGAAGCGCTTTACATGAGTTTGAGTCGTTTCATTAAATCGGTGCAAAATCGGATACTACGGCAAGAGTAGCAATGGCAATACCTAGAACATTCAGTGTCGAAATACGAGTTGCTGCAGCCACTATCCCGATATATTGACGCCCCTCGGATTTCACGGCTTCCATTCCCCAGAAACCTGGAAATCACCCCATTCAACTGTCGCCGTGACGAGACCATGGGCACTCTTATACCAACCGTCGCAGCTCGGATCAGCAATCGCGCTCTTCGCCAGACGATCTCGGATTTCACTATTATAAGCATCCATGCGTGTGACAAGAGGAACAACTGTGAAATGACTACCACTGGCTCGTGCTTTGATGGCGAGGGCGATCAGGGTATTAATATATCGAGACTGGGCTTCAATCATGAGGATAATCGAATTGTGGCCCAAGCTTGTGTTGGGCCCGCACATCATGGCGAAATTCGGGAGATGCTCAACCGTCATGCCCAGGTAGGCGCGAGCGTCCCCACGCTCGTGATACCCGCGGGAGATATGTTGTCAATGAGGTTCGTCTGAAGCGTGCCGTTGTCCCGACGTATGGCGGGGAAGTAATCGTCCGAGATGATGACGGGCTTGCAACCGGGTGCGTAGTCGGGCTCAGTTTCCTCTTCGAGGCCGCATTATCTGGAATTTGCTTGTTCATCATATCGAGACGCAGCTGCCTTGCCAAGTCATTCACCAGGGAGGCGACGTCAACTATGGACTCATACAGGGTCTCGTGGATATCCGTGAGCGAAGCACGGTACCGTCTGCGAACACCAGGAGCATGTCTGTATATCGCTCGCATTGTTTCGCTAATAGGCTTGTCGGCTGATGGAATGATCCAGTTTGGCGATCGCTGGAAGACGGTGACGCCCTGGGCAATGTTGACGATTTCTGGTAGGATCTGCGCTGCGGTCGCGCCGTTGCCAATCGTGGCTACCTTTTTGCCCTTCAAGTCATAATTTGGATCCCACCGCGCCGAGTACATCATTCTGTCCTGTAAGAAATCTAGTCCGGTGATGTTTGGATATCCTGGTACGTTCAACTGGCCGACTGCCGATATGGCAAAGTCGCTTGTGACGGTGTAGGACGCCGCATATTCGGCAGCTTTCCCGCCAAGGACTTTGAGAGACGTCTCCCATTGGTGAGTAGAGTCACTCCACGTTGTGGCTTCCACTTCAGTGTTGAAGCAGATGTATTGGTAGAGACCCCATTTCTGGGCTACCCGAATCAGGTACGAGAGGATTTCTTCCTGTCCTGGGTATTCTCGAGTCCAGTCTGGATGCGGATCAAATGGGAAGGAGTACAAATGGCTCCATACTTTGGAAAGCGGTAGAGTTAGCATGGTGGATTTTGCATGTAGCCAAACGGGCAGGGTCGCGTCTTACCATCGCAGCAACACCCGGGATACTTATCGTCGTTCGACTTACCGCCAATCTGGTTGTGCTTGTCAATAATAGTACAGTCGCAACTGCCGTTGCGGCGGATCAAGTCAATCGTCTTACCTCTATGGCTATCGCTAGCTGAAGGGGGATAGGGTAGAACCCAGGTCGTATGTAGGAGCTACCATCAGCCAAGGTGGCATTTAATCCAAGGCCAATGTCTGACGAGCGCCTCGAGCTAGTCTCGTATTGCATACGTATGTATGAAGTGCTTTGTACATCTCTGCATTACATGGTGCGCTCTCCGGAGTAGGCAGTCATGACGCCACACCCAGCTGCCTAAATGCTGTGGACGGTTGTTGGGTGAACAATGACCAAACTCTCTGCTGCATGGGACAAACGGTGCCTGAATAGGAGGGTGTCACACGGCCAAGGCCTGGACAAAGGCATCGGCCAACAGGGGTGACACAACAACAAAGAAAAGCATCGGGAGAACCCGGACTCGGACCCGAAGCAAGGGCTGCCTCAGGGACTAGCCCTCACCAAGTTCTTATATTTATATAGATCTCTGGTCCCTCAAAATCTTGAGGAAAACCAGGGATCTTTGATACCTTGACGTTGCTTATGATATCGATATCCAACTACTGTTCCAAGCCCAGTTGCCCTGCCCCTGTCACTGAAGACCCTCTTTGTTGAGCCCTGGCAGATGGTAGCTGCTTTTTTTCACTGGGAGAGCAGGGGAGACAGAGATCTGCAGAACAAAGCCGGTGGGCGATGAACTGAGTCTGGACCTGTCGCAACAACAGTACTATTACGACATGATCTCAGACTATCGGTGAACAACATGGACGAGCTAGGGGTTTGGGTGGTTTGGGTGTCCTGGGACAGTTCACCCGTCCTCTGTTGGTTCACTGAAACTTGTGCAGACTTGTATTCATAGACATATCGATGCAACTTGTGCACCTGCAGTGACAACGGTAAGCTACAGGACTTGTGCTGTTCATGCGCTGTCCATGTCCATCGATTCTCTATAAAACACGGCCTCCCCCTCGCCTCCTAAAATTCAGACTTGTACCTTCCAACATCTCGACAGGTGCCCCCATAGCAGCAATGGCAGCTCATTCAAAGCACGACATGCTGCGCATCATTGCTGCGAGGGATGTTAGCCCGCTGCCCCTTCGGGTGTGTGGGGATCAGCTTCAAATGTTATATCATACTACATTTCGGCCGACGTATTTGCGACAAGTCTTCGACACAAGGCGAGGTCTTATGTGGAATTTGGGATACTTTTTGTATTTCCTTTACAACAAGATGCAAAATTCCCTTCACCAAGGCTGGAATCTCCTCGACAGATTGGTGCCGAAATTTCGAATTACAGAAGTTATATTGAGAGCTTGCGCACAGAGCCTGAACAACCTAGTCATGACAAACCACGAAGAGAGGAACCCTCTGGATGCCGATCCCGTCCTGCGGGCGCAACAACAATTTGATGACGATTGTAAGAGTGCCACGCTCCGTTTGCAAGCTCCCCTCCTACTCGCCATACCCCGCCGGCACCAGAGACTACAGTCCATCAGAAAGCACCGGTCGAAGCAGGAATTACCTGCCGAGGAGGAGGAGGCCGTACCAGACAGGCCTGTTTGGTTCAGGGATTGGTGCGGCACCATGGGGCCTAACAGCAAGTTATTTATCGATGTGGTAAACGTCGATGATATAAAAAACTTTCCTCCCCCCCCGGACAAGACCAAATCGACTGGTCAGCCTTGCGAGTATTGTGCGAAGCCACTGGCGCGGTCGGAACTCTCGGGAAAAAATTGGACGTAAGTTGTTTTACGAAGTCAAAATTTCCATCGCCACGGCGCTAACAGACCTAGCCGTCATGTTCTCGACGACGTCCGACCCTTCATGTGCCTTTTCGAAAAATGCGACAAACGAAAGACCCCTTTCAAAGATTTCGAATCGTGGGACGATCACATGACGACTAGCCATTCGAAGAGGTGGCCGCGGGAACTCTGTCCGCCCATCCCCTGGGAATGCTTCGCGTGTGGCCCTTTGGCGAGTTTTAAAGACAAGGCTGATTTTGAGAAACATCTCGATGAGAAACACAGCACGTGTTGCATGAGGAGGTGTGAAATTTTCGACAGGACTGAAGCCAGGAGAGATAAATTCCGGAAAAACATCCACATGTGCCCCCTTTGCCATGGGTGCGTGACACTGACTCCTGATGAGCGCGCCGCTTTCCGCTCCGAGTCAGAGAGCTACATCTGTGATGTGCTGTGCGGTAGGCTGCACAGACACATTGCTTTGTCGCTGTGTAATCTGGCATTTGGCACGACTTTGAAGATTCAGGATGAGGATGGGACTGAGACGTCTGATAAGGAAGACTAGACTCTCCTGGTCCCATGCTAGCCAGCATCGAGATATTTACAGGATCTGAAGGCCACGCAGATGCCCAAGATTGCGCTCGCTGCATGAGGCACCCCGGCCAAATGCATCAGAATTAGTGGTCAAAACGCTTGATCCGCGATGATTTGAGCCCCTGTTTTGGAAATAAGTCATGTTGGCACCATTTTTTCTTTCTTTACAGAAGGACTATTATACAACATTCAACAATAAAACTATTATGCGAATTCAACTTCGCATTACAACTTATTGTTTCTGGTCACGATACTGCAGTCTACAACTCGTCTCTGAACAAAACACCCAACCACTCAGGCTGGACGCTATAATGTCTCTGTTATTACAAAGTATACCACGATTTAGTTCTTGGAAAGCAAGTTCTTGATATATTCGTGGAAGCTGTCCATTGACCCGTTGGCATGGTGTTTTCTCGCAGCAGTAGCTAGTATCAATAAAAGTTATCTTCTTTTCGTCCTTTAAACGTCATATTTGGGTCCAATTGCTTCGTGACAATAGATTTCAGTACAGGAAAACTAGACAGATTTTTAATAGAATCTTTGGTTAAAACTAGAACTTCAAAGCGCAAACAGGTACCTCCACTGTTTACTGCATGTAGTGCAGACCAAGGTCAACCCCACACACGAGGGCAGCTCGGACGAACTAGCGCTAGCGGCACTAGCGGCGGGACGGGCCGAATACCGGCATGGATCTGGAGTCTCGTCGTAGTCAGCAATCGCACTTGTTCCAATCACAGAACTACCACGGCAACCATTCCACTGGCCTACAAATGCAGTGGAATCATGGACAGAACGAATAGCATTTTGATACGGTGTGGTCCGTGTAGCACCGTACAAGTCACTGCCGTGTTACCGTTGGGCTGACAACACCCGAGATACGACATTGGACGCCTGACCTACCCTTCTTTCACCGTTCGCCATGCGGGGACAGAGGGCACGTCTCATACGTCAGTACGTTGCCACGTATTATCCCTCCTGTGGCTAGCTTCTAGCTGTTTGGCCACCCGCTACGGTCTCTTGCCCCCTTAACCTCCCCTGACCCCCCGAGATGAAGCACCTGGGGGTTTTTCTCCTCGCCGCAAGTTGTGGATCCCCTTTAGCTTGTCAGCTCACAACGAAACAGACGACCGTGAAATCTCCTCGCTACCTATCAGCCAGAAACCAAGTAACTGGACAAGCGAGGCCTCTGTGAACTGTGCAAAGACAGAACAACACAAAACACGGCAGATCCCACGGCATATGATTCTGAAATGTTCTTATTTCCGTTCCCAGGCCTTAACCAAGACTTCACGCTACCCCAAGGTGCCGCTAGGGCCGTGTCTCCCATTTACTTCGTGCTTCCCATCGTACTCATATTCTCGTTCTATTATCTGCGTCGGTCGCCGCCCGAAAGCGGTAAACTCGAACCAGAAAATGAGAGAATTGACAGCTCAGAAAGAACTAAAAAAACTCCTGGCGACGAGAGTTTCGCGAATTTGACGCCATCAGAAGGCGTTTCGCCAGACGAAGGCAACGCATCAAACAAGACTCTTCCACCAGCAGCTGAGCCAGGGTTGCAAATATTGCACGACTCTGATGCGCCCAAAATTGAGTATGTCAACGCTGACAAGTGATGGAAAATAAGACCTGACCATTATGCTTAGTATCGTGGCTGTTCATGGGCTCGGCGCGAATCCAGACTACGCCTGGGTCTGGCTGCCCAAGAACAACCCTCCTAACCGTCGCGGATACCCCGACAAACCTTTTAACTGGCTTCGAGAACTACTTCCAGCTAAGATATCCAAGCCATGTCGAGTTCTAGCCTTCAACTACGATTCGAGATGGTTCTGGGACGCCCCTCAACAGAAACTCTCGAGCATTTCGGACACCCTTCTAGATAGTCTCCGGAACGATCGCGAGCAGAACAAAGTTAGTCCCATGTTGCGATTTATAGCCTACTTAGTATGCTGATGGTTTTCTGTTGCAGGCTATTGACAGGCCCTTGATCTTTATCGGACATAGTTTTGGGGGCAATGTTATCGAACAAGTACGTAACCGTCGCAAATAGTCCTTAGTGTGAGGGTCCACGCGAGGGGTCTACGATGAAGGCACAAGAGCTCGTAATGCGACTTATCAAGTGCGTGTTACAAGAGGCCCGGTAGAAGTGAAAAGCTTGATCAAGATCGGAGAGGAAAAGAGCTAGCTCGAACGAGCCGGCATAGCAACAATGATATGGTGCCTCACACGCGACTGTGTGTGTACTGACATTTACTCACTCAACCATTTTAACCGTTGGCAGGCCATCGTATCCGCATCCAGACATTGCTCTCCGCATCTTTCAATCTCCGCATCGACTATCGGGGTGGTCTTTCTTGGCACGCCTCATCGAGGGAGCCCAGCCGCAGCATGGGGAGCAATAATTGCATCTCTTATGCCGTCCGGTTTGGCTCCTGAAGATAGGCTACTAAAGGCCTTGGAGAAGCATTCGGATTCCCTCGCGGACCGTCTACGCGACTTCTCTGGCTGGCTCTTTTCCGAATCGGTGCCAGTAGTTTGCGCCTTTGAACAGCTCGTGACAGACTACTCGTCCCGGTTACCTCTTCTGGGGACCTTTGTTCCCTCGAGAACATTGGTTTGTGTTCTATTCCTTGTCGTTGCGCAGCGCAAGATCTAACGCCTCAACAGGTTGTTGACGAAGACAGCGCCTGCATTGACGGCCATCACAAAATATCGCTACACACCGACCACCTCAAGATTAACAAGTACTACGGTGCTGACGACCCTTCTTTCAAGTTGATCTACCCGGAGATACAACGTATGGTTGAAGGCACTGACGAGGGACTTAATCGCCGTCGAAACCCGAAGCCTATCCCAACGGACGAAACGTCAACATCCGGAGGACTCCAGAGATGCCTCCAACGGATGAGAGTTAAAAATCCAGAGGATGTCTTATCAAAGATTGAGGCCCAAAAGGGTCAACGAGTAGAGAACACTTGCGAGTGGATTCTAAAACGCGAGGAATTCTCTGCTTGGGCTGTTGGAACGAACTCACACCTTCTTCGCCTCATCGGCTCCCCAGGCATCGGAAAGACGATGATGGCAACATTTCTCGTGAGATTCTTGAAGTGCAAGATTGAAAAAAATCCCTCAGAGACGTTTATCCACTTTTTCTGTGATGATAAGGATCAGGAGAGAAAGACACCAACCGCGATACTGCGAAGCCTCGTGTGGCAGCTTCTGCTACAAAGAAACGAATTATTTGAGCATGTCCAGCCAGATTTGGAGAAGTACGAAGAGAGCCGTACCTTTGACAGTTTATTTAATGATGTCTATGCTCTCCGGCGGATTCTGAAAAACATGCTTCTGGATGAGCGTTCAGACAAAGTATTCGTCCTCATTGATGCTCTCGACGAGTGTGAAGCTTCGACTCGTAAGGATTTACTCCCCCGGATCCAAATAATTTCTCAACTATCTCCCGCCGGGGATTCGGGCAAAATCAAGATCCTGCTTACCTGCAGGCCCCATATAAATGATATCGAGGATGAGCTACAGGATGTTGGAACTCAATTACAAATGGGCTCTGCCGAGATAAATCATGATCTGGCCAAATATATTGACGACCGAGTTGATGAGCTCGCAAATAGAAAGCACTACCCACTAAGCCTAAAGCAAAAGGTTATTGAAACCCTGAAACGAGAATCTGGAAATACCTTTCTCTGGGTATCTCTCATGATTGCAGAGCTGAAAACAACGCTCATGCATAAAGTGGAGGAGAAGTTGAATCGCCTTCCTCACGGGCTTGACAACACGTACTCTACCATTCTGGACAGAATTCCCGACCAAAACAGAGAGAATGCCCAGTTCATCTTGCGTTTCATGGTAGCGGCCTTGCGTCCTTTGAAGAAGACTGAGCTCCAAGCCGCATATGCAACTTGGAAGACGAATTCAATATTAAGTGGCGAGGATATGCAGCTTTATTCTGACATTCTCTCAGTTTGCAGCTCGATCCTCCATACAGGCAGTGAGGATAACGCAACTCTCAACTTCTGTCATCAGTCTGTGAAAGACTTCCTTCTCGATGAGCACACAGCCAATACGTGGTACCATACCAGCGTGGACGAGGCGAATATCCTTATTTTTAAGGTTTGCTGGATGTATTTGAGCGCAGACAAGTTTAGCCAGAGTCGTCTAAATTTTTGTCATTGGTCGTTGAGAATTGACTTTGACCAAACTAATAAACTAATAGACCAAAGAGGTAGATTTTCACTTCATTTATTCGTGGAATATTCATACTACGCATGGAAGCAACATGCGATAAGAAGTCATAAAGCCTTGCTTCGAGACTGGCACAACTTAGCCATCGATGTCACTAAAGCACCCGCATTAAGAGACGCTTTGTTATATTGGACAGCTCAACAAGGATACGAAGACATGATCAACTTTTTACTCGACCAGGGCGCTAATGTCGACGTGAAGAATGTATTGGGGGCCACGCCGCTGTTGAATGCCGCTGAGAAGGGGCATAACACTATCGCTAAACTATTACTCGACCACGGTGCTAGTATGGAGATTGAGGATACAGATAAGGCCACGCCGCTGTTAAAGGCTGCTCAAAATGGGCACGAAATTATAGCTAAACTGCTACTTGATCGCGGCGCTAATATTAAGGCTACGGATAAATTTGATGACGGGCCGCTGTTAACAGCCGTTGAGCATGGGCGCGAAACTGTAGTTAAACTCCTACTTGATCGCGGCGCTAATATTGAGGCTAGGAATACATCTGAGGTTACACCGCTATTAAACGCCGCTAGGGGGGGGCATGAATCTATAGTAAAGCTGCTACTTGACCGCGGGGCTAATATTGAGGTCAAGAATAAAATAGGCGACACGCCGCTATCAATAGCTGCGGTCAGAGGGCACATGGGTGTGGTTAAGCTGCTTGAGCAATATTCACGAAGATAGCAAGGCTAGGCAATTCCTTCCTCCATTCTTTTGTGTAGCACTGTGCTCAGATATTATATGAGGAGCAAAGAGTCTTTAATACCTTGATATCTATTCGCCGAGGTCTTTCCTAGCTGGTTGACCATGATTGTGAGCGGTGTTTCCTCTCGCCCCCATCAAGATAACTTGGGCTTATACACCACTCCATATCCCAAACCTAACTGGATTTAGTCTCTTGACTCCGTCCTAGTTTCAGTAACTGACTGGCAAGCAGGTGTGACGTGTCCCAGTTTGTTTATAGTTATGGCCAGTTGACTTCTACCCTTGTACCCTTCACACCAGACATCGACGCGGATTCAAATCCGACCACACACGTTATACCGAGGAATGCGTGTGAACCGAGAAAATAAAAAAAATAAAAAGCAAGTTTATGTTGTAACGTCTATATCATGGTATCTTCAAAGCAGTGCGAGGCTGGGCGAATAAGTATTGCAGTCACAGCGAGACCTATCCGCCACGAGCGAAGCGTTTATATTTGCTAGCCATCCGGGTGATAACTCCAGAAACTTCTGCGGTCCGTTTCGTATAAATGCATAACTCAATCTCACATCTGAAGCACTCTGGTGCAATAGTCTTTCCGTCCGAATTCCTCTCTGCATTAGGGTTGAGATTTGTGCCTGAGTTTTCCAGACCCGGAGTGGTCTTTCCCGCATTCTTGAAATGTCTTCTCATGTTCTTTCATCTGCATTGTCACTCTCTTCACCTTAAGATGTTATGAGATATTTCCTCACAAAGTGCGCATTTGCCCGCACCGCCCTGAGAAGCCATGGCTGCGTAGATGGCTACAGCCTTGGGATAAACGCAAGTGTCTATTGATTGCAGGTAAAAATACGCAATCGTACATGCAGTAGTGCATATTTACCAGCCACACACTTGTTTTCGCGTCATACATCTGTGGCCAGTACTTTATAAGTAGGAATCCGTGAATAACAATCTGTAAGCAGTTATTTGAGCGTAGTAATGTGTAAGTAATAGTCTGTATTTAGTTCTCTGTGTGCAGTAATTTGTAAGCAGCGGTCTGCGAGAAGATTACGGGGCTCTCTGCAAACGGCAGTCTATGAGTCGCAGTTTGTGGGTAGTATTTCGTAGGCAGCAGTCTGCTCATGTGAAATACATACATAGCGATATTCAACCCTTACACTACGAGGAGTCATCTCCACTTTTTGTAGGTGTAGGTGGCAGAACCTTATATCAATTCGTCGAGTTAAAATGACTTGATAGCTGCTTAACATATTTAGGGTTTTTGTAGTTGCAACGCTGCAATCTAAGCTTTAAGCCACCAAACTTGTCTCGGATCTGCCTTTCCTGATGAAAGGCTATATTCGCCAAGTACCAAGCGTAGTAACTTGGTTAAGCGCACTTGGACTATATAATAGGCGGCAATAGTAAACAGAGTGTAAAATATCTTAAGCTTCCGATATGTAATAAAAAAAATTAGATAGTCGTGAATATACCAGAATTCCAACCGCGTAATATAACCAATATAAGTCGTATTATGTGGCTATTAATTAGTCGAAGCTTAAGACAGTAAACTTTAAGTTTCTTTTTATGCAGGCAGCTTGTAATCTCTTTTTAGCAAGTGTTACATTCCACCTCTGAATCTAAATGATAAATATCCACCCCTGAATATAATAGCAGCAATCCTACCAAAAACAATTGACTTTCTAGGAAGGAAAAATTACTATTTATTAAGTTATAAAAGTAAAAAGTAAAAAGTAAATATAAATTTTACTTTATTTTAACTTTAGTTATTAAAGTTTCTTATTAAATATTATTATTTCTATATTTTAAATAATCCTAGCCATCTGTTAATAAAAAAATATAAGTAGGAGGGCTGAGAATAACACGAGATTATCTACTCTCTGCAAAATAGTCTATTCTGCTCATCAACACATTCTCTGCTATTAATTAAACTCCCGCTACTATGAAGTATTCTATGCTCTCTGTTGCAGCCTTCTTTGCTGCGTTCTCTCTGGGTTCCCCAGCATACTACTGGAGTATGCAACAAGCCGAGGCTGGTGAAGCTATTATAACGAATGACATGAACAACCCCGTCGATGTGGTTAAAGTACCAGGAGGGCCAGAAATCCAGATTGCGCAGACAGGAGGAGAAGCTAGATTTCCTGGAGGGCCAAGCGCGGACCTGAAAATCAACGGACAGGTAGAGGTCAGCTATGTTGGTGGTAATGAAGACACGTTTAATTACCAGGTAAAGCCGATCGCTCCCGGCTTTGTCGGATGTGTCCAGGTTTCAACCGTCGGATGCAACCAAGACTATCTAGAGTGGTGCTCTCAACCAGGTCCATCGACTATCATTACATGTCCCGCGGGCACAGAACTCCCGATCAGTCTGACTGAATTGCCTAATTTATGGAACTTCTACGATTATTAGGTTGCGTGGTGCTGAAGGGTGCGAGTAACGGTAATCACGGCAGCTCAACCTGCCGGCACAACAAAAATTACCAGGGAGGTTTATACGATAGTCTTGTTTTAGAGCAGGATATTTGATATATAACTCTAAATAACAACCTCGAGTTTCAAAGTTCTGTGTATTCTTTTTTTATATTCAGTAATTTGAACGGCAAATCTTGGCGGCGATACTCTTCTTGAGCTTCGCAATCAAATGCAGACGAAGGGATCTCCAGCCAGGAATGGCCACAGTCCTCTCAATCGAATGGGGGGAAATCTAGCCTGACTCCGCCATACGTAACAGAGCATGCCAGAGCGGTACCGGGGTGGTATCCAAAAAGTTGACCCCAAGGACCACTTCATGACGGGGACAGGGTTCGTAAAGCTCGTCAATACCGTCCATGATAAGACGACGCCTTGGGTGGCTTCGATCTCAAGGACATCTTCCAGCACCAGATCTTGGATCCCAACTTGACCGCTTCTCGAGTGCTTGTACGTGGGCTAGTGCAGCTGCGACATGTTTACCGGGCTTGGCTTCCAAATCCAGAGCGGACATTGCACTGGGGGCATTAAGTGCACTGATCCATGCCAACCTACGGCGGCGAGCGAGAACCTACTTGACAGTCTCGCTGAAAAACTAGGCCAAGTTAGACAATAGTTTCTCAAGGCGCATGCATCTAGCGGGCTCGCGAAGACTCGTGGCAAAAAGGCCGAGAAGAAAGACAAACTCGGAGAGGCCATCAGCTAGATTGCTGCTTGCAATTCGAGCTAGATATCTTGCAACTCCAGTAAGGAGCATTCGAGATTAAATCGAGATACTACACAGATGCATTGGAAGGTACTCAGTTAGATAAAAAAAGGTCAGGGACTGGTTGTATAGCGGCTAGGTTTAAATTGGTACGTCCTGAAACGAAATAATCAAGTAGTAGCTTGCATACTTTAGTTATAACTGCTGGTGAATTAAGAACCTACTAAACCTATACCTGTTCGACCATTACTATTACCTGTGATAAATAGAAAATGTCGCCTCATCTAGCACATACGGCTATAGCCACTAGCAAAGATGATGATCCAGCCTAGCTAGTCAAGGTAGCGTAATTGCCAGTGAGCAGAATGTCGACGATAATGAATGACAATGGTTCAAAAAAAGAAACGAAAACAAGTACAAGGATCCCGCCAAAAGAAGATTAGTACGTTGGCATTTACGTGCAATCAAGAAGAAGATCCAATTTCCCATACTTCACACAACATATGCACCAGAGTTGCACTGTCTCGGCTCCGCAGCAGCCTCAAACGACCCGTCTGGTAATCGCCGCAAGCCCTGCGCCGAGGACTGCGCTGATCCTCTGTTAATACCATGGCCCAATGAGTCCAAGAAGCCAATTACGCCATTATCATACCCCCCCTCAATCGTCACGTTCCTTGCCTGCCCCAGTTGAGCATGGAGTCTTGGTTCGCTCAATGCCTCCAAAACAGTTATCCTGCCATCCAACAAGTGGATAGCATTCTGTATATTAGCCGTGGTAATCCGGATTCCTCCAGCGCACCTAATCAAGAAGAGCAACTCATTATTACTCGTCTTGGCGATAATCGGCGAGATGGCTGATAATGGTCGTTTCCCACCTTCAATAAGGTTGGCCATGTTAGAGTCAAGGCCAAATCTATTCCGCTCGCTAGGAATGTCAAAGTCGTTCATCTGGTTATTCATAATAACACCAGTCTCTGGAACCATGACATGAGAGCCAAAATACAAGTTAATCGTGGTTGTCATAGATACAGACAGGCCACTGGTATCCGCTGTTACAATATGTGATGTCCCAGGTGTCTTTAGTAACTCTGTACCATCAACATCATAATAGTCGTCGTTAAATGTTTGATAGTCGGAGATCTTTGTGCGTATCCAGTCACTAGTCTTTTCTGATATTATGTTTGTAGTGTACTCGTTAAGAGCCACGAATCCAGGGTTGCTAAGCCCTTTCTGCTGGCCGTATCCCTATTTGATCGCTTCTATCATTCGGTGTGTTAATGTATTTGATTTTCGAGGCTCTTCGAAATCAGGATAACCACCTAGTATATTTAAGGCGCTAAGCGCCACAACACTACTAGACGGGGCATTTATACTTGTGAGGCTGTGGTTCTGGTATTGTATTTTCACGGGATTCCGGCGAACAATAGAATAGTTTTTGAGGTCTTCCATTTCCATAGAGCTATTACGTCCTTTCAAAGCCTGGATAGTCGCTTCAGCGATAGGTCCAGTATAAAAGGCTTTGGGGCCTTGATTCGCAATAGTTTTTAGTGTATCCACGTATTGCTTTCGAGTTATTATCTCGCCGTATCTCACACGATGCCCTTCCGGAGCAAAGTCTATAGCCTATTCCTCTTTATCTGTGAAGAAGGTATTCGGTGTTGTTAAGTCCATGTATATAACCAAGTCTTTGCTGACGGGAAAGCCATATCGGGCAAGCTCGATAGCAGGAGCCATGACATCGGCCCAGCTTAGATTTCCATAGCTTTCGTGAATGTATTTCAAGCCTTAAAGCTCGCCTGGGACAGCGCTATATTGCAAAGCTAGTGTTAGAATGTTTTAACCCCCAGGAGATCAAGCTTCTTACCTGGCCAAGCCGCCAATCTTGCTAGCATCTATATTGCCTTGATATATATTTTCATACGCTTTAACTGGTGCTGCCTCTCAAAAGTCAACCGAATTGTATGTTCTGTTTGGCATTCTAACAAGGGCGAAGCCACCGCCGCCAATACCGCTGTGGTACATGGCAACAGTCCCGATGCAGAAAACCGTGCTAACGAGAGCGTTTACAGCATTTTCACACCCATTTTGGTCACACTTTTGAAGTAATTGCGTGCCAATTTCGCTGCACGTTTTGCTCTCCGAGGCGACTGCACCGTGGTTGGTGCCCTCTTTTTGTTCCCCTCCATAAACTATTGTTAGCGTGGAAGCTATTAGTAGAAGATAATTGAGTATTTTGGTGATATTAAAGAGCATTTTGAAAGTCGTATACTGTGTAATTTCCTATTATAAGTTAATATATTATAAGATGAAGGATAAATATAATAAAACTAGCAGGAAAAAGAAATATAAATAATAGAAGCACTTATAAAATTATAAAAATTAGGCTACTTAATATAGAAAGTTTAGGGTGTAGCTATTCTATTTTAGGGTCTGATTTTGTATTTTAAACGAAACTTTTAAAGGTAAGTTTTAAGCTAATAATTATAAACTTCATAATAAAATGTAAATATAGTAAAAAAGGGGCTATTTAGGTTAAATATAACGGGATTGAAAGCCAACATCTTTAGTTACCTATATTTAAGTTTCCCCCGCAAACGTATAAAAGCCAATATATTTACCTCCTCCTATAACTCCGAGTATTTGATAAGTAAATTTTAAATTATTGTATATTAGATTTGCGTTGGCGCTTTTAGATCAGACTAGAACATTCTAATTAGCGTAGGTAGCTTCGCCGGATCTAGTAATAAACATGTCGGTAATAAATCTATTTAGCTCTGAAAATTAAAAGAAGTAATAAGATATAAATATTTACTTTATCTCCCAAGATTACCTTCCAAAATCCTGCACAACCCGCACGACTAATTCTAATTCCATTGATCTTACACATCTCAAGCTATTAAATAAAAACAATGCGTCTCTCAAACTTGTTTGTTTTTGCAAGTGCCGCTACAGGCGCCATCGCCCAATACTATGGTGGTTAATATGACATTGACAGCGCTCAATACAAGATCGACGATACTGAATATGACTTGACGGCACTGAATTCATCCCACGCCCAGCAGTAGGCCATGACCCCATCCCCAAGAGAATACACAGAGCGTCAGTGGGCTCACGCAGCGCAGGCAGTCGTCTATAGCGGCCAGAATACCCAAGTGATCTGGCCTCTTGGCACGTGTGTGGCTTTGAATGATCTCGTGTAAGCTTAGCAAGCTCTCGCAAAGTGATGATGCCCTTTAACAAAGATTGATAGCAAGGGAAAAGTCAGCTCGATTCGAGTTTACTCGGATTATTGCACGCTTTACGAGTAGGTACCCTGCTTCACACTGGGATCGACTTTATTTTAATATCGCGCAGGAGTCCGGATTGCCACCATCCTTATCGGACGTACCTCCACAACACTCACACAGTGACTGGATCTAGTTCTCCTATCAAGTCTTATTCCATAAAATGCAATTAAATGCCTGAATGCACGTTCGAGAAGGGACAGGTCCTCACAGGAGGCCAAAGGAGTGACCATGAAAGTCGCGAATGGCGGATTTTCCAGGACGCCTTTGTACAGGCTTTTGCCCCTATGTCCAAAGAATGGTGTATTCCTAGGGTTTTCCCTGTACTATAATGCGAATGCAAAAGGCTCTCTTTTATTGGGCTTTCATAATATTGACTTGCTGGCATGTGACGCACCTGGGAAGTAACTAAAATTTACTTTTTATATAAAAATTACTTTCTCTACTATACATGACAGGAATGTGGAATCCCTCATGACTGACACGCATTGATCCGGCCCGACTATCACGAGGATGTGTTGGCGTGGATGCTCAGTGAACCGAAACGAGATCGGATTTACAGAGTCTAATAATCCTTCCAGGCGTTCTCCCCGGTCAGAAACGGGTAACCATACATCATGTACAGAGTACACAAACCAGATTTCTTCACCGAAACCGCCGCGTGCCTCTCACCGCGCGCATCCTGCCACGCCCCCCGATCTGTCATCATCTGTCACGCCTTTGGCTTCTGAACCCAGGCTATACCCCTTCCCTGTTGTTAGCGATGGATTCCAACGTGGCACTTTGGCAAACGCACTCACCACGTAGAATAGCCATGGTAAGCCTTATTCCTCAACGCCTCACGGACTCTTGCCAGCCACGACTGCACCTCGGCATACTCCCAATCCATGACCCGGGTCAACTTGTACAGAAAGTAGCCTTCCAGCGCCGTCTCGGTAGTTATTCTATTGAACAGCCCTACCTCCTTCCACTTTTTATCCGCCGGCCACTCACCCATGGGCGTCTTGATAGCCTTTTTCTGCACATCGCGGAACCCAGCGTCCTCCATCCACCTGATCCAATTGTCGTCGTCGATTACTTCAGTAGTGTGGCCTGACCTCCTGCCCGTCTCGGCAAATAGATCTGCCGCCTCGTTGAAGGCGTTATCAGGCGGCAGGGACCCGTCGTCTGATACGACTCGGAATCCGCATTCTTGGTGCTCCAGCCAGCCGCCTGGCTTGAGACACCGAAAGCATTCACTGTACAACCTTGTCCAGTCTTTGAAGCATCCTGCCATGAAGCGGATATGTATGTAATCGAAGGTGTTGTCTGGGAATGTCCACTCCTGCGATGCATCGTCCAGTTCAAAGACGCAGTTTGGCGGCACCCAGTTAGGCAGCGTCGGCGAGAGATCAGTCCCGATTACCTCGGCTTCGGGGAACTCGGTTGCGAAATCACTGAGTACGAGGTTAGTATCGCGCGTCGGTGTAAATATACGGCTATCGTGACAAACGAGGTTTTCGTACGTGGCCCAAATGCCTGTTCCTGTGCCTACGTCTAGAACCTTTTGCGGGTTGCGCAGTGGCGCAAAGAACAGTTTGTTGTCAAAGGCGAGATATAACTTGTGGTGGCTGGCCATGTGTTACCATGTTGTCTTTTTCAGCACCAGGATCAAAATCCCCCCAGAACCGGAACGTACTTTAGATCGAGACCGTCGTTCTGCTGCTCGTCATTTGGGCCCCTGTGCTGCTTGTCAGACGCTTCTGCTGTGGTTTCTTACTGTGCAAGGTGGGTAGGGATTAGTCAATACCAATACTCGACGTCCTTGTAGTTATGGTACGTCCGTCCATGGAGCTTGCGATACTCGAGAATGGTCGACGCGATGGAGGATGTGGAAGGGGCACTACAACGCGGGTCAAGAGTTACAATTCCGAAAATAGTTTCTTAGATGGAGAAAAGGGCGTACATGTCATCACCCAGAGCTGAATCACCATCGTCCTGGAAACTGGGATCCTATGTAGAGGCTCAGACCGGGTAAGTTGAAGGCATCTGTGGCCTGCGGGTTTGGGTCTTACGGCTGCAATTTGGTCAGTGCGGTCGGCGCTTGAAGTTGCCGCAGATGACTGCAAATCATCTTTTTTGTTCATTGCGATGTTGGCGGGTGTTGATGTTGACAGGCACACGAAAGGATGGATTGAGGTTTCGCAAGGTTTCGGGAGGGGTTGGGGTGGTCAACGCATTCAAATATTTCCGACAAGCTCCAATCGGCAGATGAATTGCTGACGCCACCGTGCTCAATGGCTTCTCTCGAATTTCCCGACCAGTCAAAACTCTGCCATTTGTGCGTCTAGTCAGCCATGGCTACTGCGCCAGGAGTCTGGACTCCTATCAATTGATCCGACTAGTCCAAGCCGCCATATTGTTCTCATTGACAAAAACTGTAGCTAGCGCGGAGAAAGATATACATGGATGTCAACTGGCAGATTTAATGTGGATTGTAATCGGTGATTTCAGATCGTTTCTCCTTGTGCAGGCACTGTGCTTTACCGCAGTCGGGGGCTGGTAAGCACCAAGGAGCGAAAGCCAATATGCGAGTTATCCTCTCTACAGGCTCTCGCCGAAAACTGACTGATAGTGTGCGTTTTATCCCCTGTAAAACATGGACGATGTATACAAGTCGTCCAAGGACTGATTGATCTGTCCATAACATGTGTTGCGAACGCTGGACTACGCTTGAAATGAAGGGCCAATATGCGCCCGTTAAAGCACTTTATTACCTAGAGGCCTAGGCATTATTAGGCCATGTTCATTCGTTACTGTCTTATTGACGTGCATCCAGTGTTTTTTCATCATTCAAGGAGCCTAATATGGCGTAATTGCTGAAGTGTAAATGGCAAACATCTCTTGAGTCACTATGCTGGATGTGACAAGGGCTCAGTAGAGGGCTTGGAGCAATTTATTCAATTCATCTGATAACAGTCTTTGGTATTAAAGGTCCTTGGTTTTCCTTAAGGCCTTGAGGGACCAAAGACGTCTATTTATACAAGAAGTCGGTGAGGACCTTCTGCCTTAATCCCGTGACTGTAGCCCTTGTGTAACAGGGCGATTTCCGTGTAACACTGGATGAGTGCGGCCGCGCCAAAGACAGAAAACAGGTAGCAACAAGACGACGAATTGCCGCAACACAATATAAATTAAAATTAATCAAGTTATTTTTCTTATTTGAAGACCTCAAAAGGCTCCGGTAAATTCTTCCGATATACGCCAAGCTCGTGTTATCCTGATTACAAAGGCGTCATGTTGCTAGATGCTGCTAAATTAATACAGCGACAGTAATCGTTTCTCGTTCCTATGCCCAAGGTTTTTACTCCCTGATATCGAAAAACTGCTCAAGTCCATTACTAATACTAAGACTTCGTCTGGTCTTCCTGTCTGTCTTTGGCCCTTGCTGTGGTTGTTCCACGTCCCTGGAAGTGACACTGCTACCTATAACTGTTCTCTTATCCATAACTCATGCCAATGGGGACCAATGACAGATACAGCCTGAATCCGACGCTGAAATCTGTTCGTTACACAATGAATGAGGATACACCAGGAGGAAGCGGGATGCTAAAGGGTCAGAGGTACATGGGCTGTAAGATGTTGCGCATCTACGCAGCGCTTATAGTATTGTGCCTTAGCAAGTGTATTTGGTTTTGAGAGAAAAGGAATTAGAGACTAAAGCGGGATGCAATAAATTTTGCAACGATGGTAGGATAGACTCAAACTTTTGGTGAACAATCTCGGCGGTACATGTACGCTAATCGAGATCAGCCATTATTTGTCCTAGCCTCCAGATTTATGGCTGCTGCGATGAAAATATATCCAACCGTATGCAAAGAACTGACTCAAGTAATCTCAACAGGATTAATTTCTCAATACGAGGCTCGGGCATTACCTCTCTTGGAGCAGCGTTGCCACAATGGTTTGCAGTGTATCAACATAGCCACGATGACGGCCGACGTTCGCGCATTTTCTCATCAACTGGATACTATGTAACACGAAACTCGGCAAATACTAGAAAGCATTTGCAACTGTACCTGAAAATAGGCGAGGGAAAGAATTAGCGACTGAATATATTCAGGACTTTGTCTTCCTTGACTTCTCCTCTCAATTTGTCCATTATTATCTGCTCAACGGAGAAGTCTAATTCTACAATTGGCCAAGCATTCCATAACTCCGAACTGCCAGCTCTTAGTCTCGTCATTTCTGTCATGCTTCGATTGGGCTCGTCAGGAAAGTTAGGTCTCCTCGGCCCAGCATTTGAACCCCCAGCAAACTCGGCCACCGAAAAAAACGTCATGTCAACAACCCACAAGGTTGTACAACTGCTCCGAATCATCTCGTTGATAGTTGAGACATCATGAAATATTTATGACATTCATGCCCGCCTAGATTGAGACCCTGGGCATACATCAAGCTATAACTCGATAGTCATTCCCGGATCAAAGTTGTGAGATTTCCCAGACACCTTTTGTGCCGTACTACCCGGCAGTACGTATCCCCGCTGGTTGGCCACCAGTCTGACGCCGTTCCGCACCAACTCTGTCGAGTAATGTGTATGGCCAAATGCCCAGGTATGAATGCCAGCCCAGCCCTCCTGACGCAGGAGATCGGTCGCGAAGGCGGGCGTCCAGGGGTTATTTGTATCTCGGGGCGCAGAAGTGCCTTCCACGCAAGGCGCGTGGTGCGTCGCTACTAGAAGCTGCCTTTCGGCGCTCTGCTCTGTGGCTGCCTGAGCAACTTGCTCGCGCAGCCATGCGGCCTCCCTAGCGTGGATTTCGTTGTGTGTCTGAGCAGTCCACCCGTCAATCTTTTTAAAGTCGTTGATCTTGGACTCAATAATAGCAGAGACTTCCTCTGGAATGGCGGACCAGAGCGTGCAGCCGATGATGGTCAGTGCCGAGTTTGGGTCGTCCCATCGGGTCTTATCCAGGAGAATAACGGCATCGGCAAGAGACGGTTCCTCCACAAGACGCCGCGCTTCTTTGAGCCCTGCGTGATAGTCTAGACCATAGAACTCGTGGTTTCCTAACACTAGAAAAACCTTTTTATACCGGGACACCTGTGTTTCGAGAAATTTCAAGTACCTATCGTAGTCGATGAGCCGTCCGATGTCTCCTCCTAAGAGCAGAAATGGGGCAGATGCAGGGAATGTGTAGGACAAGTACTGTTGGCCGATCTCAAGATGCAGGTCCGAGAGAAGTTGGACTCGACGACGCAATGTGCGGCCTTGGTGTTTGAGAATAGTACTCAAAAATGTTTTCATGGTAGTGCGCTGGGAGATGGCACCTGGGGGGAGAAGACTCCATCAATTGATGTCGGAAGAGGTCAACTCAATGGTCAACTTGATCTGGCCGCCGGGGGCTTAAGGTGGCAGGCTATTGGCCGGGGGCTTAACAATAAGTGGGGTCTGGTCTGATCAAGCTTATGTAGCCACACCAGTTGCCAGGATGGGGCTGCAAAGCGCTTCCCTCCAAAACATCTGCATCGCACCTTGTCGCGATGGACTTGACGCCAATCAAAGTCGCTGCCGTTATTCTGGAACGTCATGGCATTTCAATGTGCATTGTGGGTGAGCTTGCACTGAACTATTACAACGTTCCCCGCGTTTGTCATGTTAGTCGTCCCGTTTGTTCGACGCGTTCTTCTATCGCTGACGACAATCAGGATCTGGAGATATGTGTGCCCAAGTCCAGCTCTCGGGTAGCACTCAACCTTCTATGCTCCACGGGTCTCTTCAGTTATTGTGAGCTGGACGGTGACTTCAACAACTTCACAGAGTATAAGCGTAATGTCCCACGGGTACGGACCACGGGCTGGTGCCCGCCGCAGACTATAGTCATATTTACTGCCGCCTTCTTCGGCTTTGACTCTATCGAGAACATCCTCATATCGCCCATGAATGAAGGGGATACTTACTTCAGCAAAGAGATGCAGCTGAATCGGGAGGATATTACCAACCTGCATTTACCTCGCCTAGCACCTCTTCTCAAGGGCCTGGCAAGGAGATTTTTGGATACCAAGGATGACGTAGCCATGATAGCAGTCGAGCAGCTCGTTGATGGCATGGACATAGATGAAGCTTGGGTTGAAAGACACCTTGGAGGCTCCGATGCTGCTCTTCTGGATCTAGTCAAGAGCCAGATCAGGAGCAAGAAGTCGAGGATAGATTACTACACGGACAACAAAATCACCTGTTTTGTTTCCGACCAAGAGGAGGCCGAGAAGATACGACTAATCCCTGCGTTTGAATGAGTCATGGTCCCGAATGGTTGTCGCACGGCACGCGGGATTCGCGCCTGCTTCGAGTCTCCAGCAGATTACATCCTGGAGGCATTCTAGGCAGCAGGGAACTTTTGAGACGGTTGGCCTTGGTTATGGTTATCCCATGAAATAACCTGTCAATTTGATTGGATAAACATGTTCGTATTTCGGACTCCTCCTTTCCAATCGTCGGGACCCAAATGGGCCTGAAGTAACATGTCTGCAGAGCGTGAGCGCCGCTGGCATGCTGCACCATCTGTCCCGCACCTAAAACAGGCATATTATAGAGCCAAGGGGCGGGATGGGCGATCCGTTTGCTGGCCTTATAATATACAGGTCATGTCAAGTCCAACAGGGCCCTCATCTCGCCCGAGGCTTGCACTTCATTTTCAATTGGGAACCATGATCCAAGAACGCCTAAACGACGCTGCCATTGCGCTTCACCGCATGTTGAGCCGAGAGCAGGTGACCTTCGGCATTTTCGGTGGCTATGCGGTAGCCACTTTCAGGGGTCCTTGAGAGAGTAAGCATGTTGATTGTATAGCATCTGTATCTAAAGACCAAATCATCCGGTTTCTAGACAACAAGGAGGGCTTCCAAGTCATCCTGCAGGGCCGACAGGACTATGTTGCCATTTTCTGGTCTGACCGCATTGACAGAAGCAATGCGGTGCTGGTGGAAATATTTTGCGAGAAATTCCCAGGTGAGCACATTTCAGCACCATTCCAGCTTTCCTGTTGTTGTTCATCAACTGAGATAACTGTCTGATTTTTAGGATCCCGGTACTCTATGGTCAATGTCCCGTGCAACACTGTGACAAGGGTTCAATATAAGGCTTGGAGCAAAAGGGGCTCAATTCAATAATAATCTCGAAGGATCTCTAAGGCCTTGAGTCGCTACGAGAAAGGAAGAGAAGGGTAACCGCCTTATATACATGAAAGGAACGCCCGGGCCTAGGGTCCTTGCCCGGGCACGTGTTCTAGCTGTGTAACTAACAAGTCCTATATCGGCGAAGCCCCTTTGTTGGGCTTCACGATCTGTTGGGCCTTTTCCGTGTAACAAACACCGTCTCTATCAAGGGAATCTGCTTTGGCACCTGTCAACGTCAGCAATTTAATCACGTGACCCTTCAAATTACACCTCCTTTCATCCCATAATTCACACGTCGCCATCTCTTCGTACCATTGTAATCCATGATGCTACGCTCATTAATTTCAAAACAACCATCTTTCTGGAAAACATGGCGGCAACTTGTCACTGGCCTTTGCCTCAAACTATATTCCTTGACTCTCTATGCCCTCCGCCTCAACGTATCACACCCGAATGCAAACTCGACCGAGCTGGTCACGCTACCCGCCGCATCTTTCCCGGGCTCGACTGCCCTCTTTTTCCGTCTCCATCCAGGCATCATTCTGAAAGCCCCTGTCAAGGTAGGCGAAGATGATATTTTGCGAAAGCGAGACAATGTGGATCAATACTTTAGCATCGAAGAGCAGATCCTTAGCAGGCTCGGTAAACATCCGAGGATTGTCAGGTCTGTTGCTCATTTCCACACGGCTTGTTTTTGTTTTATTGACCCCATGGTACTAGACTTCTAGGCTCACGAACCGAATTCCTGACTGGGCTGCTCTTTGCGGAGGCCAGTCACGGAAATCTCCAGTCTTTCTTGCATCAGCATGGCAACGAAATTGCACCCAGCCTTCGCCATCGATGGTTTATTCAGGCGATTGATTCTATCGTGTTTATCCACAGCAAGGGTGTGATACACAGCGATCTTAGACCTGAAAACTTCCTCGTCTATGGCACATTGCCCTTATCACTCGACTTGTGCCTCTGCGACTTTGGCGGATCAACCTGCGAGGACCTCCAGCTTTCCGGCGGAAAACTTCCCAACTCTGGCTTTTTTAACCCGAACGATGCCTGGGAAGCGACCTATACCGTTGATATTTTCGCCCTTGGATCTGTCCTGTATACCATCATTACGGGTCGGTGGCCGTTTCGTGCAACCACTGGCCAATTTACTTCCGTGGAAGAAATGGAGGAATACGATGCATATGTAGATGGCCGCATTGCTGATGGCATTTTCCCCGAAGTTGAGGGACTTTTCGGCGGTGAGATTATTCGGGGGTGTTGGACAAACAAATTCTCTCGCGCCGCGGATATTATGGCAAGTGCTTACCAGTTACAAATCAAGTACTAGCATTTGTTGGACTGTTACTGCACACATGTATCAGAGATGCCGCCAATTTACGGGGCCAATGTCATATCAAGTCAGGGGCCTCTGCAATCAGATCGTCTACAGTTGCTCCCATCTCTCTTCGAGCCCAGAGGCAGTCGCTTAAGATCATGGTTTGGCTTGGATGGATCCTCACATCTCTCAAAATCGACGTCTTCAGTGTACCGGTCTCCGCACTGATAAATGGCGTACCAAATACCCGTGAGAAATCCCGACACGACCTCGAGTCCGACAGTTATCGTTTCATGATAACTCTTGGCCTGCGATTTTACCCCTGCGGATTGCTGTACCTCTAATATTTCCAAGTCACTTTCTTGCACTGCTTCTCCATGGGGAGGCTGGTGGTATTTACGGCTTCCGCTTCGACTTCGCTTGTATCGAACCGTGTCGACATTCTCTTCAGAGATATGCGTACCCCAGTCTGACGAGTGTCGACGAAGACCGCCGGATAAAGCTTTCCGGGAGGGTGGCGAAAAGCATCCTCTACGGCCACGTTCAGCTGGGATTAGATCACAGTCCAGAGAGGGGGGAGGGGTTATGAAGCCGTACCTAGTCGCTGTCTACCTTTGGTGAAGTAAATGGTTCCTTTCTTCGCATCCACTCCGCATCCAACAATGTCCCCTTCACCATAACATCTCGGGTTGAAAAATCCAGTTGACTGCACACCACTTGCGCGCACCTCCCCGTTGCGAGCATAGTAGCCACAGGAGACAGCCGGGTGTCCAAAGCTGAGCTCACTATTCAGAGGAGCGATATCACTGCAAAGACCGATACCGAGCGTTCTTTTGGTTCGTTAGAGTGCGACTAAAGGAATAGGCATGTGATGTCACTTACTGGTATTTATCTCTGCAGCCTTTCTGCACCTTGATTTCGAAGAAAAAGTCCTGGCCATCTGGGATACAATGGTTCGCTCGAGCCACAGCTACTCCATACGAGTCACACGTTAAATCAATCACGTCTCCCACGCTAGCTAAACCATTATATGTTAATAATGCGCTTGCGATCAAGGTTCAGAGAGGCGTTACAAAGCACAAACTCACCAAATACCTCTACAATCTTCGGGTCTCTCACTCGCGGGGTCTGCTCTGTCCCTATACCTGGAGAGAGCGCGGCATGCCGGTCGTCCAGGTGCCATTGAGTAGGTGTCTTCATCTCACCTGATGACTCGTCGGTGGCGCCAGCGCCTAGAATTTGTGCTTGCATCTCCTTACGGTCGTAAGACCTGGCGCATTGCAACGGCGTCCACCCGTCGTCATCTGCCACGGTTGCTTTGACGCCAGGCGTGGTGAGCAGCGTGGCGAGGCGCCCTCCATTGTTAGACATGATGGCTGCGTGGATTGCTAGCTCACACAACTTCAAATACTCCTCGGCTGGAAGTCTTTTGCAACCTTCATGTATCTCGTTGAAAATGTCCAACTCGCCATACAGTGCGGCAATGTGTATGGCACGTCCGATATCTGCCCCGAGACGAAACAATGCCTTGGCGGCACCGAGCCGCTCTAGGCCTACCGCGAGTACCAGTGGTGTAATACCACAAAGCCCGCGGTTGGGCGTTTCGTCCACTTTAGCTACATCCATATTCGCACCCTTCTTCACAAGCAGATTGATGCAGGCGACGTGGCCAGACTGAGCGGCAAGGTGCAGCGCCGTGGTCTCTCTAGTATTGCCGACGTTAGGGTCGGCATTGTGATCTAGCAAAGCACGGAGTGCCTTGATGTGTCCGGCTTCCGCAGCCAGCACAAGAGCTGTAGAGCCCGTGGCATCCCTCGCGTTAGGGTCCGCTCCAAAGCCGAGGAGCAACTTGAGGAGCTCGTCGTCCGGTTCGTCGCTTTCTTCTTGCAGCTTATCCTTCGCTTTATCATGGCTCTTGTTTTCTTCATCAATGCTCTTGTCGTGGCTGAAAATATTGTCTTCCTCGTCAGTAATGTCCTCTTTGCTTTCCTCAGCTTCTGAAAGGATGAGCGCAGACAGGTGGAGGGGAGTCATTCCCGCATACTTTTCATCACTACAAGGACATTTGGCATTCAGATTAATATCGGCTTTTCGCTTAGACAAGAGCTCCCGGACGAGCTTGGCGGTACCATGTCCGCTCTCATACGCTACCTTGCATGCTCTCAGGAGAGGTGTCAGACCATCCATATCGATCCGGTCGACGTCAAGCGTAGGTGCACCGTCAAGTACCCTCCTTATTTCCAAGGTTGGGATCAGCCCCGACCGCTAAAAGCGCCTCTACCATGTCGGGTTTTTAATCACCACTGCGAGGTGTAGGGCAGCGTTACTGGTGGTGTCGTCAATCCAGTTGAGAACAGAGAAGTCACACGATGTCAAAAGCTTTGTGACGTCTTTCCAACTGTTCAGCACCGCTACATGCAGGAGATTGCCAGTCGGTACTGCATATTTGGAATCTAGCAAGAGCTTGACGATTGGCTCGTGCTTGCCCACTGCCGCGAGCATTATGGCTGTGTCTTTAACTGCCGTGGCGGTCTCTTTCTTCAGTGATGTGTAGTCTAGGAGCCACTCAACGACGTGGAGGTAGCCCGCCTCTGCGGCTATATGGAGAAGCGTCCTCCCTGTTCCGTTGGCCGTTGTGCCACCGAGAGCCGAGTCATCTTTGAACAACTGTATGATGGCAAGGCTCCCGGAAGACGCAGCAATGTGAAGGGGACTCAATCCCTTCTTGTTTAAGGAGTCAATCGGGACGTATTTTGAATCCATAAGCTTCTGAAATAGTCGCACATTGCCGTCCCGTGCGGCGAGATGGAGCGCGGTATTTCCGTCTACGTCCAGCAATGGTCCGCCGGCAAATGAGACCTCGCTATACCAATGAAGGATGTACAAGGCACAGTCGTTGGTTCCCTCTCGGCATGCGGTGGCGAATGCTAGGGAAAGAACCTCGCTATCGTCATAGAAGCGCGAGCTCCGTAGCTCCCTCACGGTACCAAGATGACCGTTCTTGACAGCCAGTTCGACTGGCGACGGCTGAACCTCAATCGTCGACTGCTCCCCTTGATTCTCTGCTACAGTGCCAACTTTAAGGAGTGCCTTGACCACGGACGGGAACCCTCCTTCGGCAGCACAATGGAGCGGCGTGTATTTGCGGTCATTCAGGATGCCTGGCTCGGCTTTCATCTCAAGTAGTGTTTCCACAGTCTTCAAATGTCCATTCGACGCTGCTAGATGCAGCGGGGTATTCGAATCCCTTGTCTGGTCGTTTGCTAGAAGCACTTGCGAGACCCGTGATACATCCGCCAGTATTGCCGGGTCATTTGCGGCAATGATCATACATCTTACAATTTCCTCGAACCCCCCTTCTGCCGCGTAGTGAAGAGCACCATAGCCCTGCTCATCGACGCTCGCCAGGGGAACTTTGGCGGTAATCAGGATCTGAACAATCGCCCGTTGACCAATCCTTGCCGCCAGGTGCAGTGCAGTGAGATTCGTATGGGCTGCCACAGCGTTAGTATCAGCCCCTTCAGATTGGAGTTTCGCAAAGCTGTCAACATGTCCACAACGGGCTGCTTGCAGAAGGGGGTTGTAGAAGCCGTCCGGCCCGCCTCTGGAGTTTATGTATGTACGATGGCTTTTGAGCAGCTCAGTCACAGTTGCGTTGTCGCCGAGCCAGGAAGCTCGGAGCAGCGCGCCCTCGGCTCTGACGCCGAGTTCGGCAAGAAGTCGAATCACATTCGCATGACCCTTACTTGCGGCGTATTCCATGGCCTTTGATAGTTCCGTATCTTCATTCGATGGATGCAAGTTGGCTACAAGTTCGGAGAGCACCTCGGTCAATCCCAAGTACGCGGCTACTTGAATCGGTGTCTTGGGGAATGACTCTTCTTCGGCGGATCGCGTAGCATAGTGAGAATATATGTCCAGCCATACGGTGAATTGCTCCTCATTTTGGAGAAGTGATAGCACCACCGGCTTTGCAGTGGCTTTGTCCCTAACCTCATGGTAATGTTGCGGCCAGTGAAGAGCCGCGTATTCTGCCAGTCTATGCTCTTGCCGAAACTCTGTGCCGTGCTTCCACGATGGGCTGATTTGCCTGAGGTATATGAGACACGTGGTCAGTATATCAAGATGCACATTGGCCTTGCCTAGAGCGTTGGAGTCTGCGAGAACGAGGTCTTGGTAGATGCGGTGCCGCATTTCTACCGTCTCGCCCGAGATCCGGATGATGGGACCAAGCTCATTCTCCAGGTCCCTGTGAAAGTCCCATAGGATGGACTTTTGTAGGTGTTGCAATGTGAGCGTCTCAGTGCTCGTGCGAGCAAGAGCGGCACAGACCGCGAGCTCCGGCACCGTCATGGGCCGTACCGAACGAGTGAGCCAGGGCAAGACCGCTGCGCCCAAGCCTCCATCACGTAAGAAGTCATATTTAGTCGCTAGCGTTCTGAAGAAGACTGTAAAGTCCGCGGGAAGAGTGGCGACCATGGCAATTGCCTCATCGGTGGTGGACAAGGTTTCGCCCTTTTCGAGAAAGTCCATCTTCTGGCATAATTCAAAGAGTGTAGCGGATCCCGTCCACAGCCTTTTGACTTGTTCAGATTCAAGATCAAGGGTCTTCCAAGCCGGGTTAACCGCAGCCATGCTTCTTATCCTTGTCTTAGCAAGCCGCTCGAGCTCTCCAGCTGCTAGTATTCGTTCCTGCGAGTAAACTACTAGCGGATACCCGGGCTTCCCATACTGCACATGCGAGGCGGAGCCAACAGTAAGAACCTTGAATTCGGCTTGAGATGAAGTTCTCATCTCGCAGAGATCGCGGAGCAGTTCGTCCCGCGCCTCGGCGGTATAGTGGTCAAGGCCGTTGATGATACAAAATGTCGCTTTTCCGGCGCAGCCCGACAGTATCGAACGCAGCAGGCCCCTGAACGTGTCTTTGGTGAAGATGCCCTCTTTACTGAGCCATGAGCAAAGGGGTGTGGTAGAACGATATGAAGATGGCAATAGGAGTGCTTGTTGGCAGAAAGAATGCCAGAGACTCGCCGTCGAGTTTCTCGGGTTGGTTCTATGACATGCTGAATAGGAAAGTACAAGGTTACCACCTTCTCGCAGGTGGCTCGTGACTTGGGTAGCAAAAAGCGATGTCCCGGTCCCAGGTAGTCCCACGATGTGAAGCACCGGGTTCTCTGTGCGCGAAGCCCAGTCATTATACTCTTTCCACGTGGCCCATCTTGCGAAGTCACTCGGGATCGAGCGGTGTGCTGGCGTTCCAAGCTGGTGCAATCTTGGACTCAGCCGCGCCAAAGACGTCGAGAAACTGCGCGTAACTTCTCGTGGGTCTGAGAAGAGTAGTTAGAATTATACAACTTTCGTGAAAGGCATCGTGAGGCACCTGCCTTTGCTGTCGAGACTGAGATGGGTACTGATAACGCGCCGGATTGTGTCAGCCCATGAGACTTGGTCGCTGACCTTCCACATCTCTTTTGGGTCGCAATCCAAGCAGTGTATCTGATCACAGCTGTAGATTGGACACGGGAGGTTCTCTCGGGTGACCTATGCTGTTGGTAATCTGGTAAACTAGTGACTCGGGTAGTCAAAAGGGTAACATACCACGGCATAATGACTCTCACGAGACAGAAAGTTTATCATATGATGAGTCCCAGAAATTCCTTCAAATTCAGTCTCGAGTTGAGACGCATAGTCGGACAAATAACGTATAAATGAGGCGAAATCCAACACAGACTCTGTCTGACCAAGCATCCTCACCATCAGGCGCTCCCAGGACAGATGCGTCGGCACTGTGTGAGGCGTCTCAAAGAAAAGCTATTTTACAGGTTACATTCAGAGTTCTCAACAGATGATACAGAGCCAAGGTCTCACCACAGCAGCCGTTGCGCGTGCTACCCATTCAAAGCAGGGTTCTGAATTCGCCAACAGAAGGGCCTGGGAGTACACTGTCAGAATCTTCAGCGAGAGTTCCGATGTAAGCTTCATACCTGTTTTACAACAAATCCTCCAATATCATGGCAGAGAAATACCAATTTGGGAGCAGGGATATTCGGTCCCTGAAACACCAACATTAGAAAGGATTACCTCCTAGAAGAGAGTAAAATCCCACAACGTGCTTCACTCGAGCGCCACAGCCCTGGTTGGGTGTCCACGGTTCGTACCTGTTGCTTCGGACCGTCTCCGTGATTCTTCACATCTACTGCCCTTTCTCCTTCCAACTTGTCCTTTTTCCTATCAAGCGATTGCAATAGATTCCGGGCTGAGCTTCTCAAGTCAGGCACGGTTATCATGACGTCTTCCGCAGAGGATTCGACAGTGTTCAAGACGATTCGGTGGGCAGCCGGGAAGTGCTGTGATAGATAGGAATGCATATTGCCTAGGCCACCATCCGGAAGAGCGCTGTCTCCAGCGACGCCCGTTACCAGCACGAGACTTTTTATCCACTAGATTAGCCGAATCTATATGTACCTAGGCAGGTCTCACAGTGGTTCACTCACAAGGTCAATGGAACAGCCATGGTTATCCTCGTTGCAGCTTTCGCGGGGAGCTGAGAGGGCGGTTGTCAGTAGGTGGCGTAACGAAGCTGCGTGCGAGATGACGGTGATTGAAGGCAGGATGATGAAACAAGGCGCACAGCCCGGGTCTCTCAAAGGCACAGCGTGGGCGCTTTATGTCGCTGTCAACATTCAACAAAGGGCTCGGGACAATATCGGTTACACAACAACAAAGAAGACATCACGAGGCCGGAGATGGGACACTGAGCGAGGGCTGCCTCGGGCCTCTAACTCACACTGACTTTTTTGTATTTATAGAAAGTTCCCCGCATCCAACCTTTTATAGCCGGTGACGAGGATCAGGTGCTCGATCTTCTTGTCTCCCTCCCTCTTGATTCCGCCGCTGGTTTTGGCCGTTGCAGGCCCGTGGCTACCGCTCAGCTCGACGTTCCCCATGTGTGCGATCTTCCAGATGTCAACGCCCGGCTTGATTTTTGTCCTCCGGTATGATGTGTAGACAAGTATACACTGGGAGTCTTCGCCATGGGCGTGGCGAAACGCAAGGTTCATTCCAGCTTTGATGAACCTCGCTGCAGTATCAGACGTCACGAACCGCAAGTAAAGAATGAGAAGCGTAGCCTCCGGGCTCTCAGAGTAGAAAAAGCCGTGATGAAGCAGGGCGATGGTTGCTTTCGAGGTTCAACTTGGCCTTTCTGGAATGAGATTTTTTGCTCGGCCTGCGTCTTGCTCCGCAGCTGTCCACCAATCTGACTTTAAGGAGCAGGATAGAGACAAACGACGTCGTCGTTGGTCATGGTTGAACAGACTAATACCGGTTGTTTATGGAATATAGCTCAAGTCGTGTACCTTTATCGGTCGCAGGTGGCCAGTGCTCGGGTTTAATAACAAAATAAGTAGATGGGCCTACGTATATAGTGATTTCTCATTCGACTCCCTCCTTGCAGATGAACTAGAAGGGAAAACAGCAATGCACTCGAGAATACAGAAGGTAATACAGCAAATCATTTCACATTTGCCAAAGTCATGCTGAGCAGATTGTGACTGTTCCCAGCAACTCTGGCCCAAGTCTTCTGCGTTCCGCTTCGGCAACCCGAGACGGGGCCAGAGCTAGCTACAGGGACTAACCGTCTTCATTTTGCAATCTTATGATGCCATGTCTAAATTGTAGGTTAGCGACCCAAAACATGGTGAGATAGGCAGCAGCTAACCAGCCCTCAGCCCACCGAGACCGGAATCTCGCCGGGGTCAAACCGTCTTCACGCACATACTGAACTGGTTACGCTAGAAGGATGTCAGGAACATATCAAAGGTCAACGTCTATGACGCCAAGATCCCCTGTCACACAAATGGAGCCATTGCCGAATGTCTTGAGGGGTTCGGCATTGAAATATGGAACTGGATACGACTCGATCTACCGAGGGAGCTAATTGCCGAGGCATCTTGTCAAGTCGGAGAGATATCCCTGCATAGATCGGGGAATCAAGTAGTCCTCCGAGGGTGCCAAGGACCCAGGCAATTTTCTGTGGGGTTATCATGCGATGGTCAACATGTTTGAAAAATCTAGGGGCCGTTTCGTGGTGAAAAGAAGCCAAAACTCACCAGGCCAGAGCGCATGGTCAACATGTTTATGGAAAGTCTTTCCAAGAAACAGCTGCTGCAAGACCTAGACCTAGACAAGGAAACTGAGAAGGCTCTTTGAGAATTATATTAATGTTCAGAGTGAGTACTACACCCACGCAATCTTGTGTGACGAAGATGCGGACACGGCTAGTAACCTCGTCTCGAATCTTGGTGCGAAGCGAAACCACTGTTCACATTTTACTTTATTTGCCGCAGAAAGCAGGGTTTACAAAACCGTATATTCAAGGTTACAATTAATAAATCGAGCGGTACAAAACGGTGTACCGGAGAGGGGGTAGTTATGCATAACTAAGCTATAATAAAGGCGTCGGATGAACGCCACGGGTCTCACCATTCGGCAGATGAATATTCTGGTCTGAACAGATGCAATAGCCATTATAACCATGTGTAGAATCATGAAGGAAGAAAAGAAGAAACGAAGAGCTGTTACCTTGGGCTACTGTTGTCCGTTGTTTCGCAAGCCATCCTGGCCGCTACCTGAGATGGACTTTGAAACGCAACCCGCAACACCAAAAAGACCCGCAACCGATAGTCCATACTCCAGATGTCAGCGATGTACAAAAGATTCCCGACAATCTCCTGACCCACATAGTTCCGACGGCCCATAATGGCGTTGGAGAGTGAATTGGGCTATTGAGACTACATTCGAAACAAGTCCGAAATGCCCACATGCAAGTGCCGATCTTTGACTGCCGCGGCAGGCACGACACCGAATGGCGAACATGATCTTCTGAAACGGAAAATCAAGTCACATGTAGGGCCTGGATCGGCGATGGATTCTCAAACGGGCGCTCTATCCTGGTTCAAACTCACAAAACCTAATTCATTGCCCTTGCTGCGTCTCAAGTGTTGCTACATAAGGATGCCCTAAGCTAATCAGTGCATGCATACTTTTGTAAAGAAAAGGACGGACCGCCAGTGATAAAACCGTCCTGTTGGAGACTCGCAATCTCGCAAGTTTGTCAAGTTTCCCTCTCATCAGAACCCTGCGTCGAGGCTGGCCCTTGATGCGAGGTACATAGTTTGCCATACCAGCAGTCAGTCTCGAGTAGTTCGAAGCCCCTAATCGCAATGAAGCCGCCAACCCTCATCGCCATCCTCGCCGTGGCCGTCCACGCACACGCCCTCGCCGCCAGCCAGCCAGCCCCCCAAGACCAACTCTCGCAAGAAAGCGAAGCGCTGTCCAAACGCGCGCGCCAGCCCTCGGCGCAAGCCATCGACGCCGCCGCCCGCTCCTGGCAAAGAGACACGGGCGTCGTGTCGCAGTTCCTGTCCACCGCCGAGTCCATGAGCCCGCAACAGCTCCAGCAGCAGGCGCGCGGCGCTCTCGCCGCCGAAAACGACGAGCTCACCCACAAGGCGGTGCTGGACCAAATGTTCCTCACGGGGGCGCGCAGGAACCGAGACGCGACCGTCCGGCAGGCCAACAATGTCCTCGAGACGCAGGGCACGTTTCAGTTCGTCGTGGACGGGCTGCAGACGCTGTCGAGGCGCGGCGCGCGCATGTCGCCCGGCCAGGTGAGCGCCATGATTCGGGCGATTAACCGCGACCGGTGCCCGCAGGTGCTGCCGGCGATTGATGCGTACATGGCTGCGGCGGCGGGCGCGGGTGCCGGGCAGACGGGGAATGCGCTCACGGCGATACGGCCGAGTAACTGCTGATGCTTAGTGGACCTGTTTTGCTTGAAGATTCATGTATTGTCTTGTATAGGAGCGGACTGGGAATATGACGGTGTGGGTGCGTGTATACCGAGTCGACTTGAAGGATGGTGGTGGAGTTTGTATTCAAGGAGATGTAGTTTCTAGAAAATGTAAAAACCCTACCTGACCAGACATTATCAAATAGATATTAGATCGTCTCCTTGTGCTTATAGGTCAAACTGACCCATCAGCAATCACATACGACCACAGCCGCCAGTAGAGCTCACGATCCCGTCAAGCTCTTCTCCGCGGTTCTAATACCTTTATATATAAAGGAGTGTGCCTCTAAAAATAAAGGCTATAGTATCTGTTTTTAAAGGATAATAAACTAGTAGATAATATAGTAGGATTACAGTAACCTACTATACTATATAATAACCTGACGTAAAAAACAGGAGGTGCTGGTACTAGCCTTAAATATAAAAGCTACTACTTTCTTTAAATATAGCCACCCCTGACTATAATAGGACCCCTGACTACTGCACGGTTACGGCTGATATATTTTCACTAATCAGCGACTAAGATATAGGCACTAGCCTTTTAAGTGGTTTTAGCTGCCACCCTTACTTATAAGCTCCTTTTAAGCTAATATTTCTAATAATAAACTCTACACTTTTATCTAGCTCTTTTAGCCTAAAAGATAATCAAAACCGTAACGTGTCCATAACACAATCACGACCGGCTCTAATCGCTTTAACGCGTAAGTCAGTGCGCGACAAATGTCACGACACAGCGCAGCCACTTGCTCAACTCAGATGCGACTTTATGGAAAGGGTAGTAAAATATCCCCTAGCTTATATTTTGTAACTATTATAATTAGTAAACTATTATAATATTATTATATAATTGTGTATAAAAGTGCTATTTATTAGGTAAAATAGCCTTATAAAACTAAGAGGATAGCATTATAACTAACTAGTAGTTACTTATCCCTGGTTATATAAGAAATTTTATATTTATATTAGTAGTAATTAAGAAGTTATTATTCTAGTTATACTATTTAATAAAATACTATCTTATTATAAAAAAAAGTAAATTAATTAGTTTTTTAGGGTTTAATAGCAGAATTCTTAATTCTTATTTAAACTAAAAGAGTAATAGCTAGAAGGCTATAAGGTTAATATATAAAAGGTAAATATTAATTATAACTAATACTCCGAGCTAAGTAATAACACTTTAGTTATATAAATTATACGATATTCTAATATTTTTAGCTTATTAGTTAATAATAATAGCTATTACTTATATAAACTAGCAGTAAAAGTAGTTTCCCTCCTCTTATATTATGTAAGTAACAGCCCTAGTTTCTCTGATATTTAAAGCCTAATAAGTGTTAGCTAATCTCTGATATTCTCCTAATTAGGTATTCTCCTAGTTACTCTGGGTATTAGGTTTGTAGGTAATAATTAATCTATTATTTTTTTAGGATACTTTTCTTTTATAAGCCTTTTCTATATATAAAAGAACTTATAATTTTACTTATCTATATTAAAGCCCTTTATAAATTAATATACCTTACCCTAAAAACTATATTATTAGCTAGATTTATATTATAATTATAAAGTATATTACTACCTAGGTTTTTTTAAATAAAAAGTATAATAAACTAAAATTACTCTTATTTATTAATAATAATAATTATATATTAGGTAAGATAAGA